GATGCAAGTTCTCAACCCCACCTGTGTGCTGTGGCACACAGCAGGCCATACACCCATGATAATGAAATAAAAGTTAAAAACAAGGACATAAGGACCTTCCTGAGACTGTAAGAGGCATAGCTTTCCTGGAACGCCCCTGAGGACATATTTCAATGCTCTCAAAGTCTACCTCTTAGGATCAGTGACTCCTGTTCTGCAAGCTTGTCCTTAGGATAAATCTCCAGAGATTCATGGCTGAGAACACTGCAGTACACTTTACCACAGTTCCCTCCAAAACAAGAGCCAGGAAAAGGACCCCAAATTTCACCCAGAGGAGACCTAACAAGGAACAAAAGGAAATGTGAGAAGAGGCAACTTCAACCTGTCTTCAGCAGTTATCGTAAAGTGGGAAAGGTCTTTCACTGATAGTCTATACCACACGCCAGCGAATAATGCACGTGTATACACATGCAATTAGAACATGAAAGGATCCTTGTATATTGTCTTAGTTACTCTTCCTGCTAAGACAAGACCTGTGTTAAGACCTCTGACAAAAGCAGCTTACAGATGGAGGCATTTACTTTGGCGTACTTTGGAGAACATAGCCCATCATGGTGGGGAACCCAAGGTGAAGGAGCTTGGGCACACTGGTGCATCCAGGAAGCCAGAGGGAGGGATACCTGTGCTCAGCTTGATTCCTCTCTTTTATTTTTATTTATCTATCTTGAAACGGGGAATCATGATGTAACATTGACTGACCTGGAACCGTATAAGGAGGCTAAGAGCAGGCTGGCCTTGAATTTACAGAGCTCTGTCTGCCTCTGCCTCCTGAGGGTTGGGATTAAAGGTGTGTGTACCCAAGACAGCTTCCTCTTTTAGATGTTGTCCAGGGAATAGTGCCTCCTCCTTTATGGTAGGTCTTCAGCCCCAATCAAGGTAACCCCTCACAGGCATACTTGGAAGAATGTCAACAAGTCTTCACAGTTGTGTTGGGTTCTGTCTCCTAGTAATTCCAGATCCTGTCAAACTGACAACATGAACCATTGCATGTACATTATACATACATGTTGGTGTGTATTCACAAATAATAACATCCTATAGGATGTGCACTAAACCGTTCTTGGTGACTGTCCTTGTGGGTTGCAGGTGGAAGGAGCAGGTGAATTTTGCTTGTAACTTTTTTTTCACAGTAAACACTGCTTTCTTTGTGGCAGTCAGTACGAGTCAATACTAATCTCCAAAGAGGTCAAAATTACTCAGCACATCATTGGTCCACAGAAAGCTGAATGATCTGATGAAGTAATGGCTAGGATGGCTGAATCCACCCTGCTTTTGGGAAACCAAGCCACAGCTAATAGATACACAACATATGTCACCCCCACTCTGAAACTACACATGCTCTCTACTAGAGGGCACTGGCTGGCTATCCTCCAGACGCACTGGTTCACACTGTCCTCCACACGCACTGGTTCACACTGTTCTCCAGACGCACTGGCTCACACTGTTCTCCAGACGCACTGGCTCCCACTGTTCTCCAGACGCACTGGCTCACACTGTTCTCCAGACGCACTGGCTCCCACTGTTCTCCAGACGCACTGGCTCACACTGTTCTCCAGACGCACTGGCTCCCACTGTTCTCCAGACGCACTGGCTCACACTGTTCTCCAGACGCACTGGCTCCCACTGTTCTCCAGACGCACTGGCTCACACTGTTCTCCAGACGCACTGGCTCCCACTGTTCTCCAGACGCACTGGCTCACACTGTTCTCCAGACGCACTGGCTCCCACTGTTCTCCAGACGCACTGGCTCACACTGTTCTCCAGACGCACTGGCTCCCACTGTTCTCCAGACGCACTGGCTCACACTGTTCTCCAGACGCACTGGCTCCCACTGTTCTCCAGACGCACTGGCTCACACTGTTCTCTAGACGCACTGGCTCACACTGTCCTCCACACGCACTGGTTCACACTGTTCTCCAGACGCACTGGCTCACACTGTCCTCCACACGCACTGGCTCACACTGTCCTCCAGACGCACTGGCTCACACTGTCCTCCCCAAAGGCTTGTGTTTCCTTGGTTTCAAAGTTCTAATGGTCCTCTCATAAAATCTAGCCAGGAGTCAGCAGATGCTATAGCACATTGTCTCAGTTACTGCTGACTAACCAGGATGAGTGAATACCAAAGCCCCAATCTAAGTTGTCACATGGCTGTAGCCAGGGAAATGGCTCAGCCAGTAAAGACACTTGCCACCAAACCTGACAACCTGGGTTCCATCTCTAGGTCTCACAGAATGGAAGAAGAGAAATAACTCATGCAAACTGTTCTCTGCTATGGCACATATGTACACACACACACACACACACACACACACACACACACACAAATAATTGTAATATAAATATTTACTAATCATCACATGGGAAATGGAACTTGACTTACAATTTTGTGTAGCAAACAAAATATATTTCTACTGGTGAGTGAGAAGGGAACCCTGCCAAAGCCACCTTGCTCAGAGGGGACTTTAAGGCTCCTCCCACAGTCAATGCTGTAATGTTGCAGTTTTTAAGATTCTGTGCTTTAGCTCCATTCACTTTATAGGAAGTCCTACTAGATGAACCTATGACTTTTGGCATACCCCAACCCAAACCATTTTGTGTCTTCCCAGTCTAGCCTATTTGGCCTTCCACCTCCCTGCACACCTGGGACTTCACAAACAAGTAATGAGTATTTCATTCACTGAATGAATATCTTTCCCAACAGTTCTGAGGGGCCAACCCTGGACCTCCACAGCAGACACAGGTGAATAGAGCCACGTCAAATGGAGCATGGCACCTGAAGGTTGTGGCCTCACTGGAATCTGCTGGATAAATAAATGACTCAGTGAATGACTGCTGAGATGAATAGGCTCAGTGATGGGAGCCTTGACACAGGACTTTGTGGATGGCACATAAAACCTAGCCTGGAGCGGACACAGCCACGTCATCCCAGCGAAGTGGTTTTCTGTTGGGGGATGGTGGATGCCATTCTCAACAGAGAGAGGGGGGGATGCCCTGTTCAAAGCTCTAATCGCATGCTTTAGCATTATTTTGATGGACAAAAATATTCACTATATAGCACATTTGAGGACATGTTTTCAGAAGTCATTTTATTCTGTGGTGTGTGTGTGTGTGTGTGTGTGTGTGTGTGTGTGTGTGTTATATGTACATGGGTGTGCATAGGTATGTCTGCCTGTGCAGGCTAACGGTACAATCAGGATCTACCTCTACTGCTTTCCACCTTATATTCTTTTTTTTTAAATATGGAATGCTTCACGAATTTGTGTGTCATCCTTGTGCAGGGGCCGTGCTAATCTTCTCTGTATCATTCCAATTATAGTATATGTGCTGCCAAAGCGAGCATCCACCTTATAGTCTTGAGACAGGGTCTCTCACTGGATCTGCTGCTTCCACTTTGGACAGACTGGCTGGCAGTTCTAGAACTGACAGTTCTAGAACTGGCTTCACACAGCCCCCACCCTACTCTGGGGTTACAGGTACACAACACTACACTTGGCCTTTACTTGCAAGTTTGGGATCCAAACTCAGGTCCTGATGTTTGCACAGCAAGCACTTTACCCCCTAAGCCATCTCCCTATCCCCTTAACTAGTTTTTTTAAACACTTAAAAAATACAATAATGCTGAGTATGGTGATGTCATCACTGGGGAGGCTGAGGCAGAAAGACTGAGAATTAGAAGCAAGCTTGGTGACATAGAAAGACTGTCTCAAAAACAAACAATACAAATAAAACTTAAAACAATGCTTACATAACCCTGGAGTTTGGAGAGCCACTATTGGGGTGGCAAGCATGTCACTTTTGTTCCTTTTGTGTTGTTGTAAGTAAATAAAGGGGATGCTATGAAATTTCACACTCTTATAAGTGTCATATGGTTCATTCAACCGTAATCACTGAGCACATTCAAAGGCCAGAGGTTCTCACAGTTGGACCCAGTATTAATAACAGGAGATTAAGAGGGTAAGAAGAGACACTTTAGTAAACAGGTTGTTAGGAAGGTTTTGGATAGGTAGATGGAGTAATAAATAATGGGTGGGTGGCAATAAGAGTATAGGGTGATGGGATGGACTATAGATTCATAGATAAAATAAATGATGACCCCTCAAACATGTTTGCATCTTCATCCCCAGAATTTGTGGCTTTGTTCTCAGGAGGGAAAAGTGGAACTTTCCAGATATGATTATGATTGTTCAGGTCCTTGAGATGAGGGAGAGCCTGGATAACCTGAGTGGGCCCAAGATGTCCCTGGTGTCACTTTATTAGTGACAGGCAGGCAGGAGAGGCAGAGATGATAGAAAGGAAGGTCACAGCCAGAGAGTTGAAGGTGCTGGATGCTGGCATTCCAGATGGAGGAAGGCTTTGAGCCAAGCAATGTGTGGGCCCTTGGCATCTGGGAAAGGAAGCCAGTTCCCCTGAAAGCCTGATGGTGGAGAAAGAGTCCTTGGCTTGGGGACACCTACACACAGAACTCAAAGATAGTAACTCTTGTGTCACATGTCCAAACAGCAGCAGCAAGGCTAAGTGCATAGATAAACACATTTCCCCTGTTGAGCCCATTTCCCCCTGATGGGTCAGAATCCCCACATATCCCCCACAGGTGCTCAGGGAATGTGTTATGTGGCACCAAGGTCTTTGAGTGCTACTCCCTTGCTAGAGCCTAGATTAGCCCCATCTGAGTGTACTAACCCCAATTCCTGAATCACCCTTTGGGGAAGGACCACAGCCAGTCCCCAGGAGTTTGGACTGCAAATGAGTGTGGCAGGAGCTGTCAGCCTCCCAAGGCTGCTCTCACACCTGCAATAATCTATCTAGGAATAGATTTGCCCAAGCTAGTCCCCAGGATCACTTAGAATTGTTAAAAATTAGGACCAACCAAAAGGACTCATGCCTTGTGGTACTATTGTGAATACTGAGGTGACACCTGTCCCTGGCACACAACCTCCCTCTACCACTCTTGATACCAGTACCTGCAGCCCAGGTGGGCCCATCGCCCTGGAGTCCTGGCGATGCGGGCTCGTGGGATCCGGGGGCAGGGTGAGGCCAGGGGCAGCAGGGCCAGCCCTTCCATCTGGGCAGCAGGGAGAAGGGAAGGCTCTGTCATGGACAGGCACACAAGACTACCAATGCTGCCTCTTCGACTGAATGAATCACGGAGAGAGTTGGAGGAAGGCGGCAGGGCCTGTGGCACACCCTTCCAAGACACCCCCATACTGAGGTGGGGCTGCCTTAGTCAGGACCGCCTACAGGCAGGTATGTGTGAGCACACACTTGGCCCTTTGCCAAAGCAGAAATGACACAGAAAGAAACAGTCATAAATGAAGCATGTTACATGTGCCTATAACCCCAGAAATTAAAAGGTAGCGAAAGATTATGAGTTCAAGGCCAACCTGGGCCCTAGAGTGAGACTCTGCTTCAAGAAGCAATAAACCAGGGCTGGAGAAATGGCTCAGCAGCTAAGAGCACTGGCTATTCTTCCAGAGGACACAGGTTTGATTCCCAGCACTTGCATGGCAGCTCACAATCATCTATCACTCCAGTTCCAGGAGAATCAAAGCCCTCCTCTGGCCTGTATGGGCTTTACATGCATATGGTACACAGACATACATGCAGGCAAAATATCCATACACAAATTGTTTATCTAAAAAATTATTTTTTAAAGTAAGCAGCCAAATATACATGCATCAGACATGAAACGCGCTTTTGATGTGGCCACTCTCATCCCTCACAGCCATCCCAATCTCAAAGTAAAACCAAAAGGAATAAATAAAGCCAGTGGCTAGGAGTGACCCAGGGCTTCACCTTGGCTTAGCCCTCCCTGTAAGCCTCTGGGAGCTGTGACTTTCTCCTCTGTGAAAAGGGGGACAGTGACAGGCAGGCAAAGGGTACCAAGGGTCAGCAATGGTCAGGCCTTGCTGTGGAGAAAGCAGCACTGTGGATTAGCTGTGTGTGTGTGTGTGTGTGTGTGTGTGTGTGTGTGTGTGTAGGGGGGCGGTGCCAGAGGCCTTCTGGGAATTGGCATTTGGGCTGAAAGGTGAAACAGCTGAGGCTGGATGGGAACGGCTGAGGAGGAGGGGCTGCGGACTTAACTCCCTGCCTGCCAGCCTGGGAATGGCTGCAGGAAGGCTTCCTGGTAGAGGCAGTTTCTTAACCACTGGGAGACTGAAGACTAGGGGGCCCATGGGCAGGTGTGGGGAGGAATTCCTGCAGGAAATGCTGATGTGTAAGCTGCAGTCCTAGCCCTGCGTCTGCTGCAGCTCACGAGCCCCTCCCTGCTCCCTCTCCAGAAGGCCGTGGCCCCATCACACAGAGTCCTGGTTCTCTCTGCCCTTCTAGGAAAGCTGAGTGCCAGTGACCTTGAATCATATTAACCTTCAAGGACAGGTCCCAGGCATTCAGTAGTCAGGGAACCAAGGACATGGGAATCAAGAAATGGAGTCCAAGAAACTCGAAATATGGTTCCGTAGGGGCCCCGGTAAGATGGAAGGCCTCACTGGAAAAAGGATCATGGGAGTCCTGATTTGCAGGAAGCCATCACTGGCTCAGACAGACCACGCAGGTGAGCAACTGACCATTTTTCCCCAGCATCCCTTCCTCAGGAGGGGACAAAAGAACCACGTCACAGGAAGGGAGAGGAGCTAGGGTCCAGCTGCCACCCAGGCTTCTCCCAGTGTGTAAAGTGAATCAGCATGGAAGAAGGGGTGAGGCTGGTGCATGAGGAGGGTTCATGGGAGCTGTGTGTGCAGAACACTGTAGGTGCTTAATGAAGGATGGGTGCATAAGTGTGTGGACAGGGAGTGGGTGGACGGACGGACGGACAGACAGATGGACGGACGGGTGGGTGGATGGACGGACGGGTGGACAGACAGATGGATGGATGGATGAAGAAGAATGAGGTAAGGGGTAGGATGAAAAAAAAAATGGCTGGATGGCTGGAGAGACTGCACACTACTTAAGAGAATGTCTGCTCTTGCAGTGGACTGGAGTTCAGTTCCCAATATCCACACTGGGTGGCTCACAACACCTGTAATTCCAGGTGCCCAAGCATGGTGCTCTCTCTCTCTCTCTCTCTCTCTCTCTCTCTCTCTCTCTCTCTCTCTCTCTCTCTCTCTCTTAAAAAGAAAGTGGCGCAGTGAGAGGAATAGTTGGGACCTTTAAGTGAGAGGCCGGATGGCTGATGGGCAAACAGGTATATTGGTGAGGGGAAGCCCCACCTCCGTACCCCTGCAACATTCCTCAGCCCCATAGCCCTGTCACTGGAGTATCGGCCAGGCCGGCTAGGTCACAGTGGTGACTCAGACCTGTGGGCCCCTGAGCCTGGCAGCCTGCCAGCACCTCCCTAGGCAGCCTGAGAGCTAGACAACCTTCGTCCTACCATGAACTCCTGTGTCCCTCACACCAGTTGGCTGTCCCCAGACCATGTTCTGGGCTCAGAATCTGCTCTGTAGCTCTGTGTCCCCAACATAGCATATTACCCCAGGACAGCACTATTCTGCCCAGTGCAGTACAGTGCTGCCTCATCCTAGGAGAGACCTTCAGCTTTGCCACTAGGCTGTGTTAACCTCGCTGGGTCACAGCTTCCTCAATTAAAATATCACATGTCCTGAGAATTGGTGTAAGGACTCAGAAACCAATGACAGGCGAGCACCTCAACTGCCCTGGCACACAAGGCACAGAACCCCTTGTTTCCAACTGACTTTTAATGGAAATGTATCCACGCAGATATTAAAGTCCTAACCTTCAGGATCTCAGAATGTGACCTTTTATGGACTCAGGATGTTGACAGGAAATCAAACAACAACAAAAAAAATGAGTCATTAGGACAGGCTCCAATCCAACCTAAGCGGGGTCCTTGCACAGAGGGTGAACCTGGGGAAGACAGAATGCAGCAGACACCAGGGGAGAGTGTGTGAAGACAGGCTTGATGGCCTGCCTGTCTCAAAATGGATTGTCTCAAGAACGAGGAACCGAGTTGCAGCCACCAGATGTTGGGGAGGCTCAGGAAGGATCCTGCCATAGTCTTCAGTGGGTTCAGTCTGGTGTGACCTCACCTCACACTGGCAGTTTCTGCCACTCAAAGATAATGCCTGCTGAGGCTCAAGGCCCCTAAGCCTATGTGCCCTGTACTATGTATGGCTCCCTAGCGGGGACTGGCTCTTCAGAGGAGGACATAAGGCTCAAAGCAATGGTGGGGGAAGACTGGGGGAGGGGGACACTGCAGAATGGGAGTCCTGGCCTGTAACTCAAAGTTCGGAGTGGAAAATAAGGGCAAGATTGTAGGGGTGACAAGGAGCCTGGGGCAGTGTGAGAGACCTAGAGGCTGGGAAGGACCCCAGCAAGCACCCCACACTGTGCTGGAGGCCATTCTTGGCATCTGACTGGAGGTGTGACCAAGGACAAGGGCTGCATCAGTGATCCCGACAATCAGATCTTCTCCCACCAACCCCAGGAGTTTTCATCTTCCTTGGCAGGTGCAGAAGGGCCTGGCTGCTCCCGCTTCCCCTCAGGGTCCATCCCACGTACTTCCAGACAGGTTGGGGCAGTGATCTGGGGCCTGGACTGCATGGCCAGGACTGTAGTGAAGCCAAACAGTATCCAGCGTCCAGCTACAGCGGGCTTCTGACCTTTGAGCAGTTGCTGGGGTTTGTGAAGAAGACCCCAGGCAAATCCAGGGTGCAGCTCCAGTCATGCGGAGTGGGGACCATTACCAAAGGTATTTCGTTCACATGCCACCAGGAAGCCCAACCCCATCGGACCGATTAAAGTCTAAGTAGGGCTTTATATGTGTATGTGTTGAGTGTATACACATGTGAGAACACTAGGATGTGTGTTTGTGAGTCTATGTATGTGTCTGTGTGCTGGGGGATGTGGAGAGGCTTACAGAAACATGGCCTTCTCCGGGACCCTTGGTGTCACCTTTTGTAGGGAGACTTGACAGTTTCTGCAAGATGCACTGTGTGGCCATATCATACACATTACAGCCTGTCCTGCACCTTCTGGAACATCTCCACACAGGGATAGGCTTATGGATGAAGTAGAGGTGTGGTCATTGCATCCCACTGGTGGGAGAGAAGCCCCATCCACTAACAGCAGCTGGGCTCAGATCCCAAAGGGCAGTGCTACTCTGGATGAAGAGCTGAGACTCCAGGCAGGACCACAGAGGACCACAGACTGTTTTAGGGAATTGGGGCTGTTCTGATGGGTGCTGTGGGTGGATCATTCTGATGGGACAGAAGGAACAGTAGTGAATGGCCACAGATTAGCAAGCCAGGATATGTTTTCCCCTTCGGATATCTTCAATTTTTGTGGTGTCCAGTGGGATGCTGGGGAGGGACAAAATGATATCAGATGGTACCTGGGAGGCCTGTCGCCTCCCTTAGCCCATCTTTCCTGTTGGCTTGGGGTAACCAGAAGGGCTGCAGGAGACTTGGGGAATTCTCCAGGAACAGTGGCACACGCCTTTAATCTCAGCACTCTGGAGGCAGAGTCAGGCAGGTCTCTGTGAATTTGGGGCCAACCTGGTCTACAGAGTGAGTTCCAGGCCAGAGCTACATAGAGATGCCCTGTTTCAGAAAATAAATAAATAAAAATCTCTCACCACCTGTGCTCAGTTCCCGACCTGGAGAGGATGGACACTGTGGGCCAGCACCTGGCTTGGGAGTCACTGGACTGGGTTTGAATCCCTGTTCTCCAACATGCCTTAGCAATGTGACTCAACTGCTGTGCCTCAGTTTCCCCTCTCGGTAACTGAGGGATAACCAAGATCTTACCTCATAGAATTCTTTTAGCAACAGTCCCACATGAAGCCTTAGGAGAATGTGGCTCACATAGTCACTACTTTTGCTTTTTCGAGACAGACTTTTTCTGTATAACTTTGAAGCCTCTGCTGACACTAACTCTGTAGACCAGGCTGGCCTTGAACTCACAGAGATCTGTCTGCCTCTGCCTCTAGAGTGCTGGGATTAAAGGCCTGTGCCACCACTGCCCAGCGCTGACTACTCTTAAATGCTCCTACTGTAAATAGACCACAGCAGACACTGAGGACATTCACACTGCAGCCGAAGCGAGGACTGAGCTTGTTGTGTGATGCTGAAGCTCAGAGTGCTTGCCTTTGAACAGACATGAGGGTGGGACAGTCCAGAGGGAGTCGCAGTGAATGACTGGACATGAGAAGCTCTGTCAGGGCACAGCAAAACACCCATTTCTTTAATAGGTACCCAGCATCTTCTGTGGGTTGACCTGGCCAGTTGGCCCCTATAAACTTCTTGGACCTGATTCTCCCCTGAAGGGCTCCAGGTCATTTGTGTTGACGGAGAACGGATGGTTCAGCAAGAGGCTTGGCAGGTCTGACTATTGGAGGTCCCAGGAAGACCCCTTGGTCACCAGGGTTCTCTTCCCTCCATCGCTCAGGCCCAGTTGACACCTACACAAACATGCCGAGAAGAAGCAGTGTTTGAGCTAAGAAAAAGATGCAGAGAAATAGTGGGTAGGCAGAGACTATCTGTAGATGGACAGGGTCCTTTCACTGAGTCTGAACATTGTTTTCTTGCCCTGTCTGTTGACTACAGGGCCCATTAACAATGGACATGGGTGGTCTCTTGTTCCCAAACTGAGAGTTTTGGATTGGGATGTGTGTGACTTGGTGGTACAGTGTGCTTGTCTAGTATGCTTGAGCCTCTGGGTTTAAACTCTAGCAATGGTAAGACACACACACACACACACACACACACACACACACACACACACTAGCTATAGCAGGGAGTGAAATCAAACAGAGGCTTCTGACCCTGGGGCCTTGTGTGATTTCAACAGTCATGAAGCTCACCCTGTGCGCCAACCAGGTCACATGCTTTTTCTGGGGGAAAGGGCCTCACTTGGTAAGGCTGTGCCTCAAAGGATAGTCAAGGACTCTGAGACATAGTGAGGGCTCTGTGAGGTGCCCTGGTTCCCACCTGCCGTGAAGACTATAGAACGTGGTGCTTGACCATGCTTCACAGTCAGGCAGCTGTGAGGACGGAGAGAAGGTAGTGTGGTGCAGTGGAGGTGGAGACAGAGTCGCCAGGACCTGCTGCCATGGCGGGATGTGAAGGAGCCTGAGGCTGAGGCAGGAGGTGGTGGCTGGAGCAGCTGAGTCAGCTGCTCCACTGTGGGAAGGGAGAGAGGAAAGAGAAGAGGACAAGGCCACTGGGTGTTGGGTGGCAATGTGAGTGGAGAATCCCACCCCAGACATGGAGAGCTCAAATGGGCAGGAGACGGAGCTCAGGGGAAGACTAGAGTGGCAGCGAGTATTCAGGAGTCACTGGCTGGAAATGGCATTAGCCCTGTGGGAATGGATGCCAATACTGTTCCTCTAGGTAACTTTTTTTTTTCTTTTTGAGACAGGGTTTCTCTGTGTAGCTCTGGCTGTCCGGGAACTCACTCTGTAGATAGGCTGACCTCAAACTCACAGAGATCCTCCTACCTCTGCTGCCTTTCATGTGCAGGGATGTTTGCACCACCACCTGACATTCTGGGTAAATTCTTCAAGCACCCTGGTTCTCCAAGTTCCCAAGTGTATATGGAGGTGAGAATGTCCTTGCCACAGCTCTCACAGTGAGAGTGTAGAAGGGACACACTGGGCATATTCCAGGACCATCAACCCAGATGAAAACTGGCATCGTGGACTTCTGATGGTGTGTGGACTCCCCCCCTGTGCGTCAGGAAGGGCTCTGGGTGTTTGGAGGGCCCCCATTATCTATGTTTCTGGAAGGTGGTAAGCGCTCCAGCAACACTGTGAGTAGTACAGGGTCAGGGGGCCTTGGAAGGGGCACTGGAATTTCAAATATTGGGGGAACTCCCTGGCAAAGTGACATTTGAGCAAGATTGCAAACCTCTGAGGTGAGGGCAGAAAGGAAGGGGTGGGACTTTGTAAGGAAACTCATGGCAGGGATCCTCCACACATGAGGTAGGCAGCTGTCCATCAGAGGACAGTGTGGGAGCAAGTAAGTGAATGTGTAGTGACATGTGAAGGACTCCAACGCCACAGAACCATGGGCATGTCCCCACTCCCGGTGGGGTGAGGCCCAGATGGACGGCAAAGTCTTCCTCTGGTCTAAGTGCAAGTGCTCATGGTGTGCAGGAATTGTCCACCATAGCTTTCTTCCCCCAGATGTGTATGGCCTGAAGACTACTCCCTTACTGAGACTGCACCTACAAGTTTAGCTAAACCTGCCTCCTCGTCCAGCTATATACCTTGGACCCTGACTTCTTGTGGTTTGAATGAAAATGGCCCCATAAGCTCATAGGGACTAGCACTACTGGGAGGTGTGGCCTTGTTGGAGGAAGTGTGTCACCAGGGGGTGGGCTTTGAGGTCTCAGAAGCTCAAGTCAGGCCTAGTGTTCTCAGTCTCTTTCTGCTGCCTGTGGATTCAGATGTAGAACTCTCAGCTCCTTCTCCAGCACCATGTCTGCCTGCACGCTGCCATGTCCCATGATGAGAATGGACTAAACCTCTGTAAGCCAGCCCCAATTAAATATTTTCCTTTCTAAGAGTTGCCATGGTCATGGTGTCTCTTCATAGCAATAAAACTTTAAGACATCTCTCATCCAGGCTTATACCATAGACCCTGCCTCCCTATTTAAATATATGTAATAAACATGCTCCATCCAAGAGCCCAAATCACCCAGGCCAAGCTTCTCTATGTCTACGTGTCTGCCCTTTCTTCATACCCTCACTGCCCCAGTCAGGTCAAATCCCTGAAGTCATGCAGAGCATGGAAGGACAGTCTGTTCTTCAGCATGACCAGTGCATAGGGTGTCCATACAGCAAGGCAGCCTGTTCCAATGAGACAGCTGCTGAGGCTGTGGGCAGGCCCGGGGTCTTCTTGTAGCCTCCTATCCCCCATAAAGGCCTTACCTGGTAGAGCAGGCTCACTAGTGGAACCTGTCCTCCTGGCCATGGAATGTCCCCTCATAGACAGACTCAGTTGGTTCTTTGTTCCAGAGATCCCAGTTGAAACATAAATCTGAATCATCTTCCTTTGAATCTGTGGAAACCAGAGACAAGGCTTCTGGGCTAGACACAGCCTGCAGTGCTCCCCAGCTCCAGAGGCGTCACCTGCCAGGCCTGTGGTCCCCAGTGGCCCTCTAGGAGGTCAGAAGCTGAGGAGCCAGCTCTGAGACTTCATGGACTTGGATAGAGAATAAGGAAGGAGCTAGAAAGAAGATTGTCTCAGAGTGGCCATATCCATGTACTAAAACCAGAAGGACCCAAGTGGTGTGGGATGCCCACTGCTGCAATCTGAAGGGAAGATGTGCAGTCTGAATGGATCTCGTGACTCTTGGTCCCCGCTAGGGGTGCTGCTGTGCAAGGTTATAGAAGCTACAGGAGGTAGCACCTCACTAGAGGGCATGGGGAGCTGGGATCTCTGTGTTACAGTCTGCTCCTCTTACCTGTTCCTGCTTCCTGACTGAGGATGTGATGTGACTGATACCTCAGGCTCTGCCACACCTTCCCCATCATGGTCTCTTCTTAAACCATGAGCCAAAATGGAACCTTCCTTCCCTAAATGGCTTTTGTCAGGTTTTTTGGGGGCATAGTCATGAAAATGGTAACTAACGTACTTATTGGGCACTGAAGAGACACAGAGTCACTGACCCTTCTCCCATTCATCATCTAGGCAAGTCATTACCAAAGGTCTATGATTTCTACTGCTTGGTGGTGAACATACATGTGAATGAAAGAATTCCTAAAAGTACACACATCTGTCAGGAGAAGCCTGGGTGACTCAACTGCTACACTTACTTCTCGGGAGACCTGATCCAGCCACTCAGGGGCACACCCGAAGCTGATGAAAGACTGACATCTATCTGTATCTTTCAGCTTGCATGATGCTAGAAAACTACAGGCCTGGGGGTCCTGAGGCTGCAAGCCACCAACCACCTTGGGTCAGATCCCAGCACAAGGGCAGAACACAGAGAAACTAAGAGTTAGAAGACAATGATGCCAGGGTGCTGTCACCTCTGAGTGGCCGACTTCACTGAAGATCATAGGGCTTATTTCAAAGATGGAGGTAAGATGTTATCTCTAGAGAAACCACCCAAAGTCACTGTTATACTTCCTTCCGTGGTGACAAAAGCACTACTGACTAAGCCTACAAGCACCTACTATGTACCATGTGCCCAAGACCCCGCAAAGCCTTTCTTCAGCCTGAAAGATGTGTATGTGTGTGGGGGTGTGACTGCCTTCACTTGGTGGTAAGGAAACTAAGGCTCGGGCACCCCTGGCCTAAAGCCACACAGCCAACAGATGCAGCACCAGGATTTGAAGTTTACACTGATGACACTGCACAAGCTGTGACCCTGAGCAGGTTGCTTCGCCTTTCCAAGCCTGTTTCCCCACCTCTGCAATAAGGATTCTTTCTCAGGGCTCTCCTCAGGATTGGAGAGAGATGGTATGCATCACACATTAAGTATAACTCCCAAGTTCAAAGGAGATTAAGTTACCTATAACCTATCAAGGAACAAGACTGACCCTAGACTCCAGAGGGATAGGGTTTTGTTTCTGAATCTCGTGTATCCCGGACTTCCAACTCACTGTGTAGCTAATGAGCAGGATGGCCTGATCCCCTTGTTTTTACCCCCTGAGTGCTGAGATCACACCGTGGACCACCATGCCTGGTTTATGCAATACTAGAGATCAAAACCATGGCTTCTTGCATGCTATGCAGGCACTCTTATCAACTCACAGCCCCAGACAGAGATAGCTACCACAGCTAGCACACATTTTAGCCTTTGACTCCCCTAGATACGAGGCCTAACCCTGGGCTGGGCCCCAGGGGAGGGCTCTAACTCACCCTAGATGTGAGATGAATTAGCTTAAAGCATGTTTTTCAGAAACCCAAGGCCCTCCAAGGCTCTGCAGGAAACTGCAGTGAGACCATTAGCAGGCCAGACGATGGATTGTGGGGCAGGTCATATAGGGTGCTGCTCATGTTGCCTCAGTAACTTGTGACCAGAGCTGGCAGAAACCTAGGCACACTGTTGCCCAGTCAGTCTAAGGTCACAGAGCCGAGAAACAGGGAAAGAAAAGATTTCAGGGAGACAGGGTGCCTCTTGCAATATCCCACCCCACCTGCCCCCTAGCCTCTTTTATGTCTGGGTCTTTAGCTCAGTAGTCTCAACCTTCTTAATACAGTTCTTCATGTTGTGGTAACCCCCAACCATAAGATTTATTTTTGTTGCTGCTTCATAACTGTAATTTTGCTGTTATGAACTGTAATATCATATGAACTATACGAACTGTAAATATTTGATATGCAGGATATCTGATGTGATCCCTGTGAAAGGGTCATTCAACTCCCCCTGGCGCCCCTCCCCCCCCCGTGACCCACAGGTTGAGAACCGCTGCTTTAGCTACGCTTGATAGTGTGCTAAGTCAGGACCATTGTGGCCCTGTGCCCCAGAGAAGGCCAGTTCTTTTCTGAGTTTGGTCTGGCCAAAACCCAGGAGAGTGAGCACCCCAAGACAGCAAAGGCTGCTATGCCCTGCCGTTCACGCTGTTTATAAGAACACAGGGGAGCGTCTGAGTAAAGCTGAGCGCCAGCTCTGCTCAGTGCCTTTCCGACAGGAAGGGGCACCATTTTCTGACTCAGCAGCCAGCCTGTGCGTTAGCAATGGACTTGAGGGGCAGCAACAGACAAGCATATACGTCAGTCCAACTCAGAGACTCTGTTAAGAAACTCCCAACTGCCGGCATGATAGTGCACATCTTTAATCGCAGCACTCAGGAGGCAGAGGCAGGTGGACCTGAATCTAAGACCAGCCTGGTCTACATAGTTCCAGGATAGCTGGGGCTATCTAGTAAGATCCTACCTAAAAACAAACAAACAAAACAACAAAAACAGCAGGGAGGAAGAAAGGAAGGAAGGGAAAAACTTTTTTCAAATGGAACTGCGCTTGAAATACTGTGTGATGCCCCTTCTGAGGTTGTTTCGGGCACTTTATCCTGTTTAGGCCCCTGCCCAGCTGGGACCAGCTCACCTTGACTAAGTAAGAAGCGTAACCAGACGATCATCAAGAATAGCAGCAAACTCACAGGCAGGCAGAGCCAGAACACCAGGAAAGAGAGTGTGAGGTCGTTCACCAGCGGCACCAGAGGGTACTTCATTGTGCACCTGCAGCCATGCGGGTCCGCCTGGATTGAGCGGGCAGGCTGCCCCTGAGGACCTGGCAGCTTGGCCAGGCTTTGCTTTCAGCCCAATTGTGACTTAACACTGAGTGTGATGCAACAAGGAAGTCACGGGGAGAGCCTGCAGCAGAGGAAGCTGAAGGGGTCTGGCTGAGAGACAGGCTGGCTTCTGAGAAGGATGGCCAGGCTGGACTGGCCCAGCAGCCACTGGGCTCAGATGAGCCTCCGATCTTCTCAAAGGGAGCTGAGGAATTCTAAAGTCAGAGAAGCATATAGGACAAACGTCAGCCCATCTAAGGTACTTGCCTACTCACGGTTAGTGTGTCCAGGAACCATGTCCTTGGGTCCTGCCTTCCAGTGGCACATATACACACACACACATACACTGCCACGCTTGCAGGGCAGGCAAACAGAGGGAGATCGGTGCTGGAAGGTACGAGGCTGGGTAGCTCCAGCAACACTTGCTGCACAGGAAAGGCAGTTCCAGCATAGTCACACTGACCAACCCGGCAACAGCCCAAAGTCTGGCATTTATGTTGAGTCTCCCAAGTTTAAAACAGGAGACGGGGGTGGGGGTGGGGCTTAAAACTCTGGGTATGAAGCCCAGAGTTGGGATCTCCAGAATCCACAGAAAGTCAGGTGGGCTTGTCAGCCTGACTGTAGAGACAGGGAACCCAAGAGTGAAGCTGGCTAGCCAGAACAGCTGACATGGCAAGATCCATTGAGTGAGAGACCCTGTCTCAATATATAGAGACTGATGAGGAAAACACCTTGGGTGCTTGGGTCCACACACAAACAGATGAGATCAAATTTTGGTAGAACATTGTAGCTAAATCTGTCCGGTCACTCACTGAACAGCCACACAAAACTTTTAACAGTAATTTGTTTTTGAAGCTTCCCACACTTATCCTTATTAGGAGTTTTAGCAAAGGACTTCTAAAAGCTTGCCCCCTTATCTCAGTGGGTAAGACAACCCTTGTTATCCTTCCCTTACCTGGCCTGTTTTTACTAACACTTGGGGCAGAAAGTAGGCATTAGAGTACAGGCAAGTCTGGAATAGATGAATGGGGCCTTGGGTGTACATTAAATGTACTTCCTAGGCTGACCTTCACCTTGAGGCTGCACCCCTGATGGTGAGGGCTGAGGGGAGGCTTGACTTGAGAGAACACAGCATCTCATAGCTAAAGAGCACAGGCAGAAGTCAGGGTAGCTCTAGCCTGGGAAGCTGATCATCAAAATAGGGTTAGAGGGTGAGTCATGGAGAAAGAGACCAGTGTATGGAGAAAGGGAACCAAGCCAGGCTAAGTGGACCCACAGAAGGGTCTCAATAAACAGTATACAAATGTACACCAAAGAGCAGGATGCAGGCAGGCTGGGGACAATGCAAGCCCAGAGACCAAGAAAGGAGCAGTTCGACCAGGATTTCTAGGTGCTGGGTCAGTAAGGAGTTGTGTCAGAGAACTGAGCTATAGAGGTAGAAATTTTTTGTTTTTGAGACAGGGTTTCTCTGTGTAACAATCCTGGAACCTGCTCTGTAGACCAGGCTGGTCTCAAACTCACAGAGATCCACCTGGCTCTGCTTCCCAAATGCTGGGATTAAAGGCATGCGCCACCACCACCCACCAAAGGTAGAAATATTTTAATGCTTGTATTTTTGGCTAGCTATGAAACGCTCAGACACCAAAATGGGGCGACTGAAGTCAGCTCCTTCTGCCAATGGGCCCTGCTGTAGGTTCTGTGGAGGTGGTTCTGGGTCCCAGGCAGTTTAGATGCAGCAGGAGAGCAGCTTTTGTGGGGTTGCTGCCAGGTCGAAGGGGTGGAAGCAGGTATTCTAAAAGCTCCCACTTACGGTTCCAAGATTCACCATCACCAGGATCCATGCTCATGGCCCCAACATACTTCCTGTAAGACCCTCTGCAGCCAACCTGTGCAAAGGGGCAGTGAGGGCATGGGTGACCTCTGTGCCTTCCCCTTCTGGAAATGTCCTTACTTTACTTGACAGGCAGAAAACCCCAGGACTCACTCATCCCCCAACTTCCAGCCTTTGTATCTTAAGGCTAAACACTCCTGCCAGCATTAGAAGGGCAAGTCCTTTTCTCTTAAAATTAGCCCAATTTTGAGTATTAAAGGAAAACTAAAAAACCAGAGTGAAAACCTAGATTAGTTAAAACTGAGCAGACCCTCCTGGAGAGAGTGAGTTAAGAGTGATCAAGCAAGAGGCAGCCCTGTGGCCTGTAACCAAAAGGACACACCAAATTATTAGATAAGAAGCTCCTTAAAATTTAATTGACCACATATATTACATTCAATACCCCTTGGGTCTCTTGTGGGTGGAGGACAGGCATAAATAAGAACGGCTCTGTACCTTCTTCCCAGGCTGACACAGACCCAACACAGGCAGCGAGGGACACAGCACACCTTCATATTTACATCTCCTTTACTTTACAGATCAGTGGCAGAAATATTTACAGAAAATACAATAGGAAAAAGATCCCATCTTGGCAATATACCGAAATTCATACAAATTGTAAATATGGTTTCGAGCAAATAATGATACTTAGTTTTTAGCCACAACTGCCAAGCCCTTCAGAAGAAGATGCCTTGGACACTGTGGGGACAAAGAACTTGATTTGCTTCAACAAATAGGTATTGGGCGCCTACTGTATGCAAGGCACTGTGGAATCCCAAATTACACATTTTCCTCATCATTAAAAAACTTGTCTGAAGAACAAGAGTGGCTATTCTGAGAAAACCCTATGCAGTGCATGGCTCTGCCAGCAGCAAGAGCAGTGACCCCACTGTCCAGGTGGATCCCTCAGGAAGAGGGTATGTCAGGGAGTGCTGGGAACAGACCAGTGGATGCCAATGGTCACTGTTAACACAGGTCTGTCCATCTTGAACAGGCTTTAAATGCTAAGGGACAACTGCTGCCATGAGAGTGTCAAATGACCTCCCAGACAGTTGTCACCATCTACTCATCTCTGCTTAAGGCTGACTCTGTGGGAGAAGTTCCACCTTTCAATAGGAATACACCCTGGGAAACTCATCACTGTAGAAATTAGTCTGTAGAAGTCCGCTGTTCCCCCAGCTCAGACAGAGGAGCTGTTTTTCCAGGCTGTCCTACTACCTGTGAGCCAGACCCTGACAGGGCCAGCCAAAGTGTAGGTATTTTTGTAGGTGAGTCCAGAGGTGGAGCTACTTGAAAATGGGGGAACTGGAAGTGGGAGATGCTCATATACACATGTGCATGGCACACACATCTATATGGCTGGGGAAGGCTGCCCGACCATTGTAATTATTCTTTTCAAGAGGCCAAAGGCCAGGAGGTTAGGAGGCCTGTTTCCTGTGCTTCCAGCAAAAGCAACAAGCTCCCTCTCCCGCCTCCAGCTTCAGAAGTGAACAGGAGGGGCAGCCAGTCTAAATACCCTTAGGAAACAGAGTGCCTGGGCATCCACATACAGCAACTGAGCAGTTTAAGCCACAGTCCAGACTGGTTCCAGTGTTTACCCAAAGTTTCTGAACCTGTGCTGGCAAATTTACCAAGTGAACTACTAGGATTATTGTAGGTACTAAGTATGTTCCTCTGACAAGATTCTATTCAAAGTGATCTTAGCGCAGGCAGGAGGATGAACTCAGTGAGCAGGATTCCAAACCACACTCTGAGGCCCAAGGCTCTTACTGCACTCCTTTGGTGGTAGATGGTGTGTGGAGCAGAGGGGGCCAGTTAGGGGGTGCATCCAAAGTCTGTTGGCTGTGCACAATAGGACTTCTCTGCCTAGGGGTGTGTAGCCCTTCTTTCTTAGGGAACCACCACATACCCTAGATTTCAAACTGCATCTGCCACGGTTGTTCTCTTACCAAAATCATCAGAATTACAAAGTTAGAAATTAGAGCCAACTGAAGGGGAAAGGCCAGTAAGCCCACCCAACACATACACCCCATATGTTATCTTTCTGGTATCATTTAAACAACATCCAAAGTAAAAGTTTTTCAGAAGAATCACAGCAAGGAAGTACATCTTTATCAGTTATTTGTAGCCTCTGGAATGTTACAAGTTGCATGTGTATGTATAGATTCTTTGTTCACCTCAGAACAAGAACCAATTTTCCCCATGAAGTGTCAATCTGAAAGCATTTTAAAGATTGTTCAATTTCACCTCTTCTTGCTGAGTTACTAGAATACTTTTAGGATAAAACCCACTACTAATTTTTACCATTCCTCACCCCATAGTATCACCTGGAAACATTAGATTATTGCCTGACTTTAAAAAGAAAAAGTCAAAAGACAGAACACTATATGTCTTGAATGAAAACTAGACTCACAGTGGGGAGGAAGAGGAGGACACAAAGGACAAGGAAGACACAAAGGGGGGGGGGTGTCTGTACCTGAGCTGAGAAAAAAAGGGGGTGGTGGCAAACTTCAGACCAAGGGCTGTTATACCCATGGTTCTTGCTCAGAGATGGCAGAACGTATACTTCTCAAATGGAGGCACCTGCACAGGGGAGCAGGTACAACACTGCCCCTAATATTCTAGGAAAAGAACAAATCTCACACCAAACAGTGGAACCCTGATCTACAAGACTTAGTGACAACAGAGGGCCAGTGGAAACACCCCTGTTGAACTCTGATGATTCCTCTTTGGACTATAAGTGTCATTTGTTTTCTAAGACAAATAATCTTACTGAAGGAGAAAACAGAAAAATAGGTATACACTGGGCACTGTAACAGGAGTCCTTTTAAAACAGTTTGGTTCTGGCCACCTCCTATGCTTTGTCCCTGGCAGAAAAGCAGCAGTCTGGGGCAGAGATATTCCAGAGTCCTATTAGGGACTTGTGCCTTTAGCTGGCTAAGGCCAGGAAACATAACAGCAGCAGCCACCTAAGGAGATGACAGAGTCCGTGGATTGTGAACCAGATGCTCACTAAAAAAGAGCTGAGTGAGTGGCAGTGGGACATTGCTTCCTGAACCATGAATAAAACTCTCCATCAACTACTGCAGCTTGCTGCTTGGTCCTGAAATAAATGAAGCCAAATCATTTTCAATCCCTGTTGTGAACTCACATTTCTTGGTATTTAATCGAGGAACCGTGCCTAACCTATCATCATGCCATCAAACTGAACAGTAATGGAGACAGGAGACACCATTGCTTGCTCACAGCTTTTAACCCAAACATGACTAGTACACCATTAGAGAACACAGCTGTGCCTCCATTTCCATCTGCCTGCTAAGAAGCTGAGGCCATGTGACAGATCTCCAGGGCAATGAGAGGGACAACTTGCTTAAATATGGAGAGAAAATAGGAAATATTTTAATGTCATACTTAACTGAGCAAAACCCATTTATGGTTTACCCTGTCAGTGTGACAGGTGACAAATGGATCAAAACGAGAGGACAAAGCTGCAGCCTCATTCCTTCTACACAGTGTCAACTTGAGCCTTAAAAAGTTCTGGAAGATTCTGAGACTGATTTTAGCTCTGAATACACCCTCCTAAAAAGCGAGGTATAAACTATCTTCAGCTCCTAACTTGCAAGCCTGTTGACACTACCAATGCATGTATTTAACTGATGCATTAAAGCCTTTATCCTCAAAAGGCTTGTATTTTACTAAAATTGTCACTTTAAAAGAAAGTTTATGGCTAAAATGCTTGTCATTTTCAGCAGGAGTGTGACTGTGCAAGGTCCATTCATCAGAAAGCTGGTGGTCCTCGAACCAGTGGCTTCACATCGTGTTTCTTCTGGTGATTCAACAGTGAGCTCTTGGGAGTGATTCGATTTTATTTTTCAGGACTATCTTGCTTTGATGTCTGAGCCCATTCTGCAGTCCACTGCCCTGGACAAACTGTGCTCTAAGAACTGCAATTCTTGAGTCCAACCTCCTGAAAAAGGGCAGTATAAAATTCTGGCTCCAACTGCTTATTCCGGTATTTGTTGACAATGTCAGTGATTTTCTGTTTCCGACGGACATGTGGTGGACTGTAGGAATCACTCTCCAATCTCTTTCTTCTACAAATGTTTATTACAGTTTGCCGCACCAGAAAGCCTTGAAAACAGGTAAGAATGACTGTCAGGTGAGCTGTGTTTAGGGGACCGAGACTCTTTCCCTGCAATCCCACAAGTTCCCACCTCAGAGACAAACACAGCACCAAGACAAGCAGCACAGAACCAGAGTCAAAGTCTGCTCCTCCACAGGCCGTGTTTTCAGAACCAGAACAGCTGTTTTCCCCTTCAGTTAGTTAGTTCAGCTAGCGAGAGCCCATTGTATCATGAGATTAAATAAAACTTAAACAGATGACAATACTATCCTTCTCCCTTCTTATACAGGCAGCAGCATTTTCGACATGCAGTGACTATGAAGTGTTAAGACCATTTCCTTACTTATTTGTGATTTATGAAAGTGTTAAAGAAGGCAAACAGTGGGTTAGTCACCGACATCCTATGCTATAATAACCTCCCACCCACACCTATACTGGAGCTCTATTTAAATTCAGCAGGTCACACACACACGCACACGCACACGCACACACAAACACATGAAATGTTGGCAGGGCCTCAGTAGAAGAAGAATGAGGCAAGGTACTGTGAAGTGAAAAAGAACTGGAATTCATTAAATAATTGTATGAGATTGTCAAAGACTAAGACTAAAATGAAAGGTAAAGGAAAAGGAAAAGGAAAAGGAAGAAAGCCAGGACCACAGCCCGTCAGCACACAAAGCCCTTACCAAGTGCTCGGCGGCTGACTATCATCCCATCAACAAGGGGGATGACCATGTTAAATTTTCCAGTGGCTCCTTGGATTTTTATCCGGAACAATCCAGTGTTTAAAGGGTGGATGAAGATTACAGGGACTTCTTTTTCAAGAGTTGTAGATCTTAGAAAAGATAAATCATTTTAGTTCAGACAAAAGAATCTTCCCTATGAGCTGTAAGAACTCACACCAGGGCCTGGGGACCTGTTGCCAGCAAAGTCTAAGCAACATCTGCTTGGAATCCTCTTCCTGGAACCCATGCTGCTGCAGCCTGGAACCACTGGCCATAAGCACTTACTCCTGGGGCTAGGCTTTTTTAAAATAGAAATAGTCTGAAAAAAGATTCTTCAAAACCACTTCTAAGGATGTGGGGTAGAAAGACCAGGCAAATGTATTGCAGAGGGCTAAACATCTAGCCGCCAAAAAATAACTTTTTTTTTTTTAAACAAGATGGGTTTCAAAGAGTATGCTAAGAGAATTAATTCAGGTATAAGATAAATTCTACACAATAGCATTTATCTGAAGAACATAAAATAAAGTCAGAGTACATGCTTAAAAGATGGCAACAGGAAGGTTTTTATTGTAAGAATACAAAATTTCAGTTATGCAAAGTAAGTCCTAGAAGTGTGTCCACTGTACCAAGTAAGGCTATAACACTGTATTATATTACTAAAAATCTAAGAGGGCAGAGCAAATAGTAGTAGTTGTAGTAGTAATAATAATAATACATGATAGATACTGGGGATGGTAGGAGACTTCTGGAAGTGATATGTATATTTACAGGAGATAATGTGGTGATGGTTTCATGTATATAATATACCTCCAAACTTAACAGATTGAACATGAAAAATATGTACAACTTAAAACAACTGTATTTCAGTAAGGTAAATTTTTAATTTTGTTTTTTTCTGAGCATCTCACATGCTGGCTTTTCCCTTCTCTAGAGCTCCTGGAAAGACTGGGAGACCAATGGATTTTGGGGCTGGAGAGATGGCTCAGAGGTTAAGAGCACTGACTGCTCTTCCAGAGGTCCTGAGTTCAATTCCCAACAACAACATGGTGGCTCACAGCCATCCGTAATGAGATCTGGTGCCCTCTTCTGGTGTGCAGATATACATGGAAGCAGAATGTTGTATACATAATAAATAAATAAAATCTTTAAAAAAAGATGTGTTACATTTGTTTTTTTTTAAAAAAACTGTATTTTGTTTATTTTTATTTGTATGAGTACTCTTCATGTATGTATGTATGTATGTATGTGTACATTTGTACCTGTTGCCCTCAGAAGTCAGATAAGGGAGCTGGATCCCCTGGGACTGGAGTTACATGTAGCTGTGAGTCACCATGTGGGGGCTAAGAACAAAACCTGAATCTTCTGCAAGTGTTCTTAACCCCAAGCCATCTCTCATTTCCTGATTCTTTACTTTTTTACCTTTAACCACTGTTGGATTATAATTCTTTTATTAAGCTGTAACCAACAGATAAAAACAGACATGCTGATAAACTCAAACAAGTAAGAGGGCATACCTCAGAGAAGTGCTACTATTTGCAGTAGTTTCCACACCAGTGCTGATCTCTGTCATCAGATCTGAGAGGGGAAAGTTTTCTGGAAGAAAACAGTATTACAGTTACCACCACCTGATTTTCTCAAATTCATTTCCTAACCTCTTCACAGGTTAGGAAGCAACAAGTACAGTCTGTACTAGACCACAATGGAATCCTAATGACTCCCCAAGTAAAACATAGTCTTTTACAATATGTTTTGGTCAAGTTCACCTAGAACAGGGCTTTCAGAGAATATGATCTGTGGCTGTTGAGGGCCTGTTCAGAAACAGCTGTAACACTTTCTTATAAACTCTGAGCTGGACAGGGTTCTAGGCTAATCATGCATTTCTGATATTAAGTCACTTACACAAAAATCCTAAGAAACTTATGCATGGCAGAACTTTTAAGGACAAAGGAAGCAATTATATAAATGAGACCACCTGTACACATGGAAAAGGTGGCCCAGAGCTCCTGGGAAGACTAGGAACACTGACTAGGAGACCAACGAAACAGCTAACAGCTTTGTATCTATTAGTCTATCAAATACTCACAACTAGAAGATACGGGTCACAAGTATGCCCAGTTAACAGTTTTTTTTTTTTTTTTTTTTTTGGAAATGGGTAAAGAGGCTGGAATACTAAACCAGGTCTATGAACTGCAAGTCTCTGTATCCACCCTTTTCAGACATTAATCATTCTTCGAGAAAACCTCTTTCCTCATACAGTACCTATATCATCATAGCGTTCCACCCAGACTACAGATACTCTTGTCTCAGGTCCAAGGGGAGGCACATGGCGACCCTGAGGCAGCTTCTTCATTCTGGAACTTGGACTGAGCTAAGTGAAGAGGAGAGGAGAAAGAATTTTTTAAAAACTATCTGGTCAGACATTTATCAAGATGCCTAGTGACATGTCTATGTCACCAAAGCCACTTGGGAAGAAAGTGTGAAATAAATTTGCCAAAACAAAAACAAAAACAAAACACCTCTTCTACTTTTTCTCTGCTTAGGAGCTTGACCCAGAAAGGGAACTAAGGTTTAACAGAATCAGAGGAGGAGCAGGGAGGTGGCACTTGCTGCCAAGCCTAATGTCCTCTGATGTCTACACATACACAATGGCATATATGTACATGTGCATAGTCGGGGTGCATGCGACACACACACACACACACACACACACACACACACACACACACCCCAAGTAAATAATGTGATACAACTTTTAAGTACCAAAGGAATACTAAACTACAATTTGCATGAATAGCAATAACATTTGCATGTCATGTTTTAACAAAATTTTAAAAGGATTGAATCTATCTCTATTGTGGTCAGAAAGCTATATGCTTCCCAGGTAAAGAAATATCACTACTTTGTCTGGGGATCTTAGTCTCTAAAATGCAACATCAGGAAGTTATTCCTAGTTCCTAGATGACATGTTCCAGTAGCAATCTATACCTGATTTTTCCCATATTGTCTGCAAAGACAAGAGTTCAATGGTCTACACGGCAAGCTCATGCACACATTTGTCTTTTCTACCACTCAAATGGCTTATTTTTATTGAACTATTTTGTATGTGTCTTAAGTCAACATATTAAGATGCATTTCTCATTATGCATGATGTTCTATAGTACATAGATTTCACTATTTATCATTCCCTAGTCTTTTACTTTTAAAATATATACTCAAGCAGTGCCACAATGAACATCGTTGTACATATTTTATTATGTATTAGACTTTTCAGAATTTTTTGTAGACATATATTTTATATTGGTCACACATCAGCCCTAATTCCTCACATCTTCCATTTTCTTCACACTTCTTTTTGTTCCTTTTATTGTTTACATAATTTCATGTTTATTTCCCTTTTATATATACATACATAATTTTATGTGACTATACAAAATCTAGAAACCACAAAAAGAACATTTGTTTGTCTGAGACTGGCTTAATTCTCTTAGTTGCATCCATTTGCTTTTTAAAGATTTATTTACATATCTGTGTGACTGTGTATATGGGTGCCCAAAGATGACAAAAAAAGGGCACTGATTTCCCTGTAGCTGGGGTGATAGGCAGTTGTGAGGCACCCAAAATGGATGCTGGGAACCAGAGCCAGTCCTCTGCAACAGTAATTGCTTTTAATCACTGAGCCATCCCTTCAGTCATTTTCAGGGATTTTAGTATGAAGATTCGGATCTTGTCAAAAGACTTTTCTGAATCTATTGAGTTGATCATCTGGTTTCTAGCCTTGAAAAAACATTTATGTACTGTACTGTTACGTTTATTGATTTTTCTATGTAGAACCATAGAAATCTCCAGAATAAAGACAACTTGGTCAAGGCCAATGATTGTTTAATTCAATCTTGATTTGGGAAGGCAAATATTTTGTTAAGTATTTTTGAAGCTATGTAGCTTGGTCTATTAACATTCCTTCTGTTGTGTCTGTGTCTTGTTATCAGAATACTAGTTTCAGAACAGGCTGTGGGAGTGCACCATCCCTTCCTGTTGGTAACAGCCTGAGATTTCTTTTTTAAGTCTTTCAACAATGTTGCTTGTTATAAATCTGTTAAAATGATCTCACCTTGATTTAATTTTGGTATGCCCTGTGTACCTAGAAAACTGGTTTTTAGATTTTTTGTGTAAAACACATTTTTAAGGCATGTCCTGATGATTTTCTGAATTTCATTGTTATCTGTCATAAGAAAGTCTGTTTGCTTTCATTTCTAGTTTTATCCATTTGTGACTTCTCTTTCTTTTTTTGTTTTTCCAGACAGTGTTTATCCGTGTAACAACAGCTCTAGCTGTCCTGGAACTCGCTTTGTAGACTGGGCTGGCCTCAAACTCAGATACACATCCCCAGTGCTGGGATTAAAGATGTGCACCACCACACCTGGCTCTCTTCTTCAGTTAGCTTGGCTAAAGGTTTATCCATCTGGTAAAAGAACCAACTCATTGTTGCAGTGATTCTTTGTACAGTTTTTCTGTTTCTATTTCATTGATTTTTGCTCTGTTCTTTTTTTTTTCTGTCTAATGATTCTAGGTTTGATTTGTTCTTAATTTTTCAAGATCTTAAGGCAAACTGTTAGTTTATCCAAATCTATCTGATTTCACATATGTGGGCACTTACGGCAATGACCCTCTGCTTTGGCCTGCTTTCATAGTATCCCACATTTCTGGTATTTGTTTTCATTTTCGTTTGATACTTGGGATTTTTGTACTTCCTTATTTCTTCAGTGACTTACTCATTTATTCGAGTGTTTTGTTTAATTGCCATTAGAATTTACACTTGTTAAAACTTGTTTTATATACTATTGAATGATCTGTTTTTCTGTTTATTTTTTATTGGGATGACCTGTCAAATGGTGACTATTAGATACTTTTACTATGCTAGGGTTAATGTGTGAATTTATATTTAGTAGTATTTGCTTTATGAAACTGTGTGCACCCGTTTTCAATATGTTTTAGAATTATAATGTCCTGTTAATGGACTGTTCCCTTGTAGAGTATGGAGGGACTCTTTGGATTAGTTTTGGTGTGAGGTATATTTTTATCAGATTTAGAATAACAACATAGGCTTGATTCCTTGTTCCATTTGGGTGGAATACCTTCTCCATCCATTAACCCTAAAGTAGTTAGTTTTATCTGTCTTTGGTGGTGTGTTTCTTGGTGGCAGCAAATCCCTCTTTAAAATTCAATCTGTTCTGTCTGTGTTTTCATTGGAGAAATGAGACCATACTATTGAAAAGTATTATTAACAGGATAGTATTCATTCCTGTCATTTTGTTGGTCTTAGAATGGTGTTTTTCCTATTTCTCTGTGGCTTAACTAACAGAGTTTGTCCCCTCCTGTATCCTCACAGATGTATTTATCTTTCTATTTAGTACAATGGATTCCTTTCAGTATCGTTTATGGAGCAAGTTTAGTGGTCATGAGTTTTTAAACATAGAAAGTTTCTCTTTCAATTATGACCATTTTGCTGGGTATAGCAGTCTGAGTTGCCTTACAAAATACATCATTCTCCATGGTTTAAAAAAGTTTCTGTTGAAGATGGAGGAGTTTAAGAAAAAAAAAAAGAGGCCATGAATTTGAAAGAGAGAAAGGAGAGATATATGGGAAGACTTGGAGGGGGGAAAGAATGAAAGAAAGGAAAAATGATGTAACTATATTATACTCTCAAAAATGAAAGGAAAAGAGCTTGGCATGGTAGCACACCCCTTTAATCCCAGCACTCAGGAGGCAGAGGCAGGTGGATCTCTGAGTTTGAGACCAGCCTGGTCTACAGACTGAGTTCCAGGATAGCCAGGGATACACATAGAAAATCTGTCTCAAAAACAAACCCACCCCCTAACAGGAAAAAAAAATAAAAACAAAATCTCTAATAAGATTCTGTTGAAGAAATAAATCTGCATTTACTCTAATGAGCCTTCCTTTACATATGACTTGGTGTTTCTCTTTCGACGCTTTCAGTATTTTCTTTGTATGTGTATACATGCACATTTTGTTTGAGGCCAGAGTACAACTTTGGGTGTTGTTCCTCTGGTGTTGTCCACTACTATAAACATGGGATCCTTTTTAGATGAGTCAAGTGCAGTAGTGAGAAGGGGAAGTGTACAACAGGAGTTCACTCTGGACCTGACTATGAACAATCAACTGAGGTACCTCACTACCTTAGTGAGGACCAGCCAAGACAGGGTCTTGTACTGACCTGGAACTCACAAAGTAAACTAGGCTGGCATGCCAGAGAGCCTGAGAACTGCTATCTTTCCAGCACTGGGAGTACAAGCACATGCCTTCATTCCTAGCTTTTTTTTAATGTGGACCAGTGAGCGAACTCAGTCCTCTGGCCACCACTTTGTCCACTGAGCCACCTCCCTAGCCCAGTGTAATTTGCTTTGTATATTTATTTAGTGATTCAATCATACTGGATTGTGGGAAGTTCATTTTCTAGTCTACTCTCATATTCTAAATGCTTTCTGTATCTGGATTGGCATCTCTTTCCCTAATTTTAGGAAATGTTATGATTCTACTGAAATGGTTCCTGTCTTTAGAATAAAATTCTCATTTCCCTATGCCCACAGTTCTTAGATTTGATCTTTTCATGGTATCCACACATCTTGAAATTACTGCTCTTATTTTCTTATCTGTGTCCACGTTCAAATGTCCCAATTTCTCTACCATGCTTTCAAACTCTGATATTCTCTTTGATCACTTCTATTAGTAATGTTTTTCATGAACTTTGTATTTATCGTACTGTGTTTTTCATTTCCAGTATTTCAATTTGTTTTTTAGTATTTCTCTTTATTGAATCACTCTTTCATAGCCTGTATTGACTGTCTTAATTAAAAACAATTTTACGACCAGGCGGTGGTGGTGCAAGCCTTTAATCCCAGTGCTTTGGTAGTTCGAGGCCATTCTGGTCTACAGATTGAGTCCAGGACAGGCTCCAAAGCTACAGAGAAACCCTGTCTCAAAAAAAAACTGAAAGAAGGGGGCTGGAGAGATGGCTCAGCGGTTAAGAACACTGACTGTTCTTCCAGAGGTCCTGAGTTCAATTCCCAGCAACCACATGGTGGCTCACAGCCACCCTGAATGAGATCTGGTGCCCTCTGCTGGCATGCAGGCAGAAGACTAAATAAATAAAATCTTAAAAAAAAAAAAAAAACATTGAAAGAAAAAAATTTTACATTTACTTTTATGTGCATGCTACAGCATGTATGTTGAGGTCAGAGAACAACTTGTGTGTTGGTTCTCTTCTTTCACCATGTAAGTCACAGAGATCAAATTCAGGTTGTCAGGTGTGATGACAAATGCTCTTACCTTGTGCCATTTCACTTGCTCCTGTATCAGTTTTCTCATTCATTCAGCTGTTTTTGTGTTTTCTTTTTTCCTGTTTTCTTATAATTCATTCAGGAATTTGTTTATGTCTTCTTTAATTTCCTCCCTCTGAGGCAGGGTCTCATTTTGTAGCCCTGGCTGGTCACAAACTCATAGAAATCTACTTCCTCTGCCTCCCAAGTGCTAGGATTAAAGGGGTGTGTAGTACCACACCTAGCCATCTTTGAACATACTTATAGTCATTCAATGTGATTCTCTGTTACTGAGGGATCAGAGACTTTTTGCATGACAAAAGTCTCATTGTACCTTGGCTGGCCTTTAACGGATAGGGATCTGCTTGCCAGTGCTGAGATTAAAAGTATGTGCCACCACGACCAGCTTGGATTAGTGATTCCCCTCCTCCCTTTTTCAAGACAGGGTTCCTCTGTGTAGTTATAGCTGTCTTGAACTGACTCTGTGGACCAGGCAGGCCTCAAACTCAAGAGATCCACCTGCCTCTACCTCCCAAGTGCTAAGATTAAAGACGTCCACCACTGCCCTGCTTGGATTAGTTATTTTTAGGAGTTACATTTCTTGGTTTTCCAAGTTACTTGTGTTTTTGCACTGGCCTTGCACATCTGTGTTAAGTTACTGGCTGAATTCTTTTTAAGTTTTATCTTTTAAATAACACTGTTATTCTTTCTGAGGGAGTGTTTTCAAGGGAGTTTATAGACAGGAGATGTGGTTTTCCTCTGCTAGACTGGTGATCAATGCACCAAGCATAACCCCAGTACTCATTTGGAATTACAAGGCTACCTGAAAAACAGTTAAAGGGTAGACCCATGAAAATACAGGAATAGTTTTTTTTTGTTATTGTTATCAAGGGGCTGTAGAGATGTCTGGCTCATTAGCATTTGATGCTCTTGCAGAGAGAGGATCTGATTTGATTCCTACCACCTACATGGCATCTCACAATCATCTATCTGTAATTTCAATTCCAGGAGTCCTGACACTTTCTTCTGGCCTCTTTGAGCACCAGGCAAGCATATGCCTGGTGCATACATACACACAGGCAAACACTCATACACAGAAAACAGTCTTTAAAACAACAACAAAAAAAGAATTCAATCAAAATACATAGGACATTCCCAGCTCTTGAGAGGCTGAGACACAGAGACCCTGCAAAAACAGCTAGCCAGTGTTCTCTGGGGTAAAAAAAAAGGAATACAAAAAAGAAAAGTATTTTATAAAGGACATGAAGAGAGCAGGATGGAGCTGGTCTGCTAAAATGACGCTGGATACTGAAAGACGAAAAACTGAGGAGGCAGTTGAGTAGGGTATAGAGTATGAAAGTAAGTGGTCTATAATTTTTGTCTATTTTTGAGACAAGGTCTCATGTAGCCCACAATAGCCTCAAACTTACTATACAGCTAAAGCTAACCCTGAATTCCCGATTCCTGTGCTTCTACCATTCAAGTGCAAGAATTACAGGTATGCTTAATGATACCTGGCTCACCCAATCAGTTTCTTTGCAAGGTTAGCAAGACTATGTGAATGCCCTTTAGCAAACTGGCACTCTAAGCCACACCACTTGCATGGCACATAGCAAAACTATGTTGGTATGTGCAGCAAGAGAATCCCATAAATTGAATTTTAAAACTAAAACTGCTTATTAGGACAGAAACAGGTATATCAAATATATCACCAAGGGGCCAGAGCCCATGACAAACCCCCAGATTCCTATTTCTATTTGGCATCATAGAAAATAAAGATGTCTCTCAAATAAACCCAAGCATATCCACAAACTATTCCCCTAACAGAGTAGCTCTTAATAAGCTAATATCTTCATCTCTGAGTTGCAGCCCAAGACTGGCATGGCTCCTGTGTTTAGGTCAGGTTTCTGTAAATCACCTACTTTTTGACTGCCTTAAAGTAATCTTAATTATATCCCAAACTCCCTTTGCCATAAAACGTAAACAATCATGGGGTACCCAATCATATACACAGGTTTTATCAAACAGAAGAGAAGGACACAGAGCAAGGATCACTGGGGGTCATCTTCAAACCTGGGTCAACACAATGGCATTCTTTCCTGTAGTCCTGCTAATAAACTCAATAATTCCAATGGGCTTAAACAGATTCCTTAATGTTTTACTCTTTGCTTTGTGTTAGACCTCCACTTCTCTACTAAGAAGCAGGAGAAAGAGTAGACATCTTGGAGCTCTCCTCCACATGTGGATAGGACACTAGCTGCTCTTTAGTCAGTGTAGTCAGCTGCTTTATCGTGTTAAAGAGACTCACGTCTGTTCAGAGTTTGCTGAGACTGACTCCTCACCAGCAAGTGTTAAACAGTTTTGGTTTGTTCTAGTCTGAAACAAATACATGATAAAAAGCAACATGCGTTGGACGTTGGTGGCACATGCCTTTAATCCCAGCACTTGGGAGGCAGAGGCAGGCAGATCTCTGTGAGTTCGAGGTCAGCTTCGTCTCCAGAGCGAGCGCCAGTATAGGCTCCAAAGCTACACAGAGAAACCCTGTCTCGAACCCCCCCCCCCCAAAAAAAAAGAGCTGTCATTCTCTGGGTATGAAGGTGTACCTGTCAGCATGCAGAACATGAGGATCAGGGCAAGCAGCCACTGAATTTCTGTATTCCCATTTCTTTTCAAATTGTGTTCTGTGAAGCTTCTTATCCTCCCGAAGTTTAAAACCAGTCCGTTATTAACAGTCATATAACTTGATATTCTTACTAAATAATTTTATTAGTGGAGACCTTAAGCATGTAGCTATGCTAAAAAAAATAACCTTCATAGTTACACCTAGTGATTGATGCAGCTGAGGCAGGAGAACAGAAGTTCAAGGCTTGTCTGAGCTACAGAATGTGTTCCAGGTCAGCTGGGGCAACTTAGGAGAACCTGTCTCAAAATAAAATAAGAGGACTGGAGATACAGTTTAGTGGGAGAACATCTGGCTAACATGTGTGAGTCTCTAAGCTTAATTCCTAGTACTGGAGGCAGAGGGGAGGATGAGCAATAATTTTCACTGTGGAAGGAACCAAACTAAAATCCTATATAAATTCAGGCATGACTTTGGCCAGGTTTACATTTTGCCTCTTTTACTATTTGTTTTAAATCAATCTTATTACAGCCTAATCGTGTGTTCTTGTTACCACTTAACTTGGTCATTTTCCAGTAAAGATTAAGGGGCAAACACAGATAAAGAGATAACATCCACTGATAAGTATAAAAGCAAAAGGCTATGTAGTAGCAGTTGTATGCCATACTCAATAGACTTTGTCATACACAGTAGCGCCTCCTTATCTATGGAGTGCATTCAAAGACTCTCCATAGGTTCTTGAAACCATAGTTACTACCTAATCCTATATGTATTCTTTTCCAGTGCACAACTACACACACAAACATACCACACCACAGAGAAACAATTGAAATAAATGTATTAACAATAATAAAACAGAACAATTACAATATATTTCAGTAAAAGCCTATGTGAATTTGGTCTCTTTCCCTCAAGAAACCTTCCATGCTATATTCATTCCTCTCCCTGTGATGATATAAGGTGATGCAATGCCCATATGAGTCACAGTAAAACACCGTGACATAGGTTAACTTTAATATAAGCATTGAAGTACTACATTTCATGACACCAAGCCAATACTAAAGTGACAGATGAAGGTGGGGTGCAGTGGTGTAGCATATACAGGATACAGGTGCTGAACAAAAGGATAATTAACATTCTAGGTTGGAAGAAGCAGAATTTCGTGAGATTTCACCAAGCTATACAGATGCTACATTATTTTAAACTTACAAATTGTTTATTTCTATAATTTTCCTTTTAATATTTTTAGACCATAGTTGAGCATGGGTCATAAAATGGCTGAAAGCAAAGCAACAGACAAAAGAGAACTTGCAGTACTTAGAGTCTCCAAACTGCCAGCTTTGTATAGTCAGCCCTTGGCTGAATAATGTGAGATAACAAAATCTACAGACAGCTCCTGCTATGATACTTAGTGGATATTAAGGACAACAGAAAGCCTCAGCTTAAACAGGAGTGAGCAAGGGAACTGACCAGGGCACCACAATGTCAAAAACAAGGAAAATGCTATCTTAGAACCAACTATTACAGATTAGAAAAATGGAAAATTCATTTTGAAATACTTCAGTTAATGAGTCAGTACTCTTGCTATACCTTCTACACTATAAAAATAAGAAACTTTCAGACTTGGTTCTACAATTACTGCCACTTCACCACAAGATTTTGGGCAAATCAATAAAACAACTTACCCTCTGTGAGGAATTAAGACTGTCTGTGTGATTTGGAACCAGCTCAAGTGTCAGGGGTGGCTGCTTCAGAATTCCAGGCATGAGATCCATATTTGAGTCACTATCTTGGTCTGAGATATTACTTTCCAAAGAATCAGCTGTAACATAAAGAAAAAAATTATATTTGCTACTTCTCTGGAGCAGAAGTTTAATTATGTTAACTAGTCTAACTACCCCGATTGACTGAAAGCCAAGCACTGTCTCCATAGCCAATCTTGGCAAACATCCTATGAAGGAGCAGGAGGCCTTGCTGTAGGATTTACTGGTCATAGAGGTCTTTGCAGTATACTCTTCTTTGCATTTTATTTAAAACACTTGAAACAATGTAAAACTTAGGACTGAAGAGACAGACAGCTCAGAAGTTAAGAGCAATGGCTGCTCCTGCAGAGGAACTGGGTTTGGTTTCTAACATCTACAAGGTGGCTTAGAACCATCTGTAACTACAGTTCCAGGGGATCCCTGCCCTCCTCTAGCCTTCATGGGCACAAAAGGCATGCATTCTGTGCACATAATACATGCAAGCAAAACAATCGTACACATAAAAGAAACATTTCAATCTTTCAATAACCATAAAGTTCATTCTTGGCTGAATCTGATTTGTGCACTAGTTTGTCATTTCCTGCTCTAGAGGATAACTGAGGTAAGACTAGAAAATTGTAAATTCAAAGCTATCTGTTATTCTCTGAATTATTTAAGTATTCAATCAAAAGCACCATCCTAAGTAGACACTGAGACACCTAAAGGCAACCAAGGACCTAATATGAATTTAAAGAACAATCTGGTGGGAGACAAAAACAAAACAAATCTGATGGGATTAAAACACAAAAGAAATGAACAAAACCCTCAAGAAAATAGAGATTATTTTATTTTATGCAAACAAATGTTTTGCCTGCATGTATGTATATGCACTATATGTATGCTTGGTGCCCAAGAAAATCAAAGAGGGCATTGAATTCCCTGAAACTGGAATTACAGATGGTTGTAAGCGACCATATAGGCACAGGAAGTCAAATCTGAATCCTCTGAAAGAGCAACCAATACTCTACATCAGAGCCTTTTTTCCAGCCCCAGAATACAAAAATTAACGAGAGCTGAGTCACAGCACACAAATGGCAAGTGGCATTAGGCAGATATCATGATTGTAGGCTAAGACTCAATTGTGGGAAGGCACAGTGTGAACGAAGGCTCTAGTCTGGGAAGACTGCTGGCTCGGACTGTTCAACCAAAGAAAACAGGCAGGTACTCAACTCAAGACAGCTGGGCCTCAACTGTAGGAATGAGGAGGCAGATCACAGCTCTGAATAGAAGGCAGATAAATACTATGATACTGATCATGGAAGGTCCATTCTACGAGGGACAAAAATTGATAGAGTATAAAACAGGTGGGAGCCTACAGTGAGAAATCAAGGTCAAGAACAAAGGTGAGGAAGCTAGTAAGCTAGACACAGCAAAAGTCTTTACTCCGGAGATGAGACTAGGAAGAGCAAGTGCTCTTAAAGGTTAAGCCATCTCTCCAGGCTCACACATTATTTTAAGCAAAATAAACCTGTGAGTTTGGATTAAGAAAGAATAATCATTACTCCATAAGAAAGGTGTGCCATCTTTTCTAGACTGCTCAAGTTTTTTTCTGTTTATTGTCCAATGATAAATGTGATGTCATTATGAGGTCCTGCTAGCTATAAGTTTATATGGGGTTCCATATAAAAGCTTTCATATGGGAATCAAGAACTAGGTGGGCTTCACTCATTTGTGAAAGGAATGACCAAAGCAGAAAGCAAAACCTGTGCATACTGGTTAAGTTAGAGGAAAGACAAAACTAGGGTTGAAGTGGCGATGTACTTAAGAATATTTGATATACCTATCATTAGAAAAATGAAACTTTGTCACATACAGGAAATTAGTCATGGTTTCCAATGAAATGACTCCTAAAGACAAACATCTTTTTCTCATATGACATCTATACATACCTCTGACATGAAGGAGAAAGGGAGAGGAATAAGCCTGATGTGAGAAGGGAACAACAGAGTGTATAGGGTAGGGGAAGATAGACAAGTTAAAGCATGTTTTTTTCTCATGCTGAATTTCAATTTAACTATGTATCTATGGGGGCTAAGCAAAAGACTGGTGGGGAAATATAAGCCCAGCACAACATATATTCATGAAAATGTCACAGCAAAAAAGAAAAAATTAAGTTATCCTATTTAAGTATGTCCTGCTAGGTATTCACAGTCTCATGCTTGGAACACTTCTTTAGCTGGTGGCACCATTCTGGGAGGCTGTGGAACCTTTATGGGGAGAGGCCTAGATGGGGAGACTAGGTCATTGGGAAATGTCGTTTGAAGTACCTAGACATTGGTTCTGACCCTGTTCCTGGTCTGCCAGAGACCACTGCAGCCACAGTTCAAGAGGGCCTAAAATTTGGCATCATTCATATGGTGTTGGTTTTCAAGCACTAAGAATGCAAGTGTTTCCAAACTATACTGTATGCACTCTTTTTTCCAATTAAAAAAAAAGTTTTAAAAATGCAAGAATTATGGAGCCATGGGGGCTTTACCCAGTTTTTGAGAAGCACCTGTGGGGCTAGGCAATGTGCCATTGTGCATTATGGGATGGCTGCAAGCTACTTGGGCTTGAGACAGAGCACCAAAGTTGAATCTGAAATATTGCTTGTAGGTTCATATTTTAAGTACTTTCCTTTCCAGTTATTGGTGCTATTTTGGGAGACTGTAGAGCCTTTAGAAATTGGTACCTAGCTAACAGAAGTAGGTCATTTGGAAGGGATCTTTGAGGTTATAGCCTGGCTTCTGGTTCTGGCCCTGGTCCCTGCTTCCTAGTCTGCTATGATATAAGAAGCTGTCCATGCTCCCACTGCCATGGACTAAACCACTTCACCATGTCTTTTCCAAGATGATAGCCTGGATGTCTCAGAATAACTAGTCTGGCTCTTATGTTATTTCTGTTAGGTATTTGGTCATAGTACCAGAAAAGTAACTAACATACTAGAGAACATTATGAGATTGTCAGGATCTCTTATATAATCTAGTTATATAGCGCCTTTGCTCAGAACCTAAAGAATGCCTCTGATGATGTCAATATCCCCTTCGAAGCATATCACACCAAATAGTGAATATACAAACAGATCCTAAAACAGCATTATGCACAAACATTCTCTTACTTAAGGACTCCATGGGAGAAGGAACCACGAAAGCTATTTCCGTCAGGGCGTCAGCATAATACAGCACCTTCTTCTGGCCATTGAAAATGCTAGCCCCAGCATCTTCAGAGGAGTTTACTTCATCTGGGAATAAGAAACAATGAATGGATCAGTATTTAAGAAAGTTGGGCACCTTCACCTCCTGTTCATGAACTCTAGCCACTTTATAAAGCCATGGCAGCTCCAACAAGAACCAATTTGTAGGTGAGAAGAACAAACCATGAGTGTTAAGTGTTAAGTGTTAAGTGTTAATAATTTTCTAGTTTGTGAAATTACTCTACAGTAGACCTGGACACACTACTGCAGTCCTGCTTCTGCTCTCCCTTCTATGGTAATCAGTGATGTAAAAACATATAGGGAGTTTTAGTAGAAAGTATCTGCTCTACACCAGAAAGAATGAGTTGAAACACTGAACTAGCCTAAGTCTAAGTAAAATGAACATACAGTAACCAATATGACATCAAAGATCAGGACCTTCACAGGAAGCTGGCACATAGATTTCGGAAAAAGGAATATACTGAAACATGCGTATTTTTCAATCACAAAACTAAGAAAAATATCACCTAACAGAAGATACTTAATGCTGGTGAAGATGTGGTAAACAATAAATTTAGAGCAGAGGTTGACACTTTTTTTTTTTTTAAGCAAAAGACAAGATAGTGAATATTTGATGCTCTGCAGGGAATATGTCTCTGCTACAACTATTTCTGTCACTGTAGGACCAGAGCAGTCATATACAACACACAAATGGGAGTATGGCTAAGTTCCAATAACATGCTACTCATAAAACTAGGTACAGGACACAGCTGAAACTCTCAGCAGGCACTGTGCATCTTCTATGGTTATTATTCCAACATCTACTCTGATCCTAATCTGGAGCAAACCCGAAGCTAAAGTGCAGGTAGGACTGACTCTACATACAATTTCTCTATCAGAGTCAGGGTTTAAGGAGAAAAGAGACTTGAGCTCAGCTAGTCTCTTCTTCTGACTATGGTGGTGTACGCATGTAAAATCTGAAATTGCCTTTCTTTATTCTGACAGAAGACAAGTGGGGATTAGGCAAAAATTCAGAGAACACAGCTAAAGGAAAACTGCAAACAAAATGGGTGCTGATAATTACACAAAACACTTAACCAATTTGGAATTTCTTGGTCCCCTGGAGAAATCAATGATCTTCAAAATTTAAGCCAGGTTTAGCTTGCTGCAAAGTCTAACAACCTGAGCTCAAGTCCTAGAACCCACGTGAAGGTGAGAGGAGAAAACTGACTCTACAATGCTGTCCTCTGACCCCCATATGTGTAGTGTGGCATGCATGTGTACACACACACACACACACACACACACATACACAAACACACTTTTTTAAAAAACAAGGTCTTACTATGTAGTCCTGGGTAGCCTGGAACTCTCTATAAGAACCAAGCTAGCCTTGAACTCAAAGAGATCCACCTGCTTCTGCCTCCCAAGTACTGGTATTAAAGATATGAGTCACCATGCCAGGCCAATAATATTTTTTTTAATTAATAAAAATCTGTTTCATTCAGGTTTTCTGTCATTTAAAACCATAAGCATTCGAAGGATTTATTTATAAAATGTGTAGAAAAATCTACTCAGTGGTAGAATTTACCTAGCACATGTTAGGCTTTAAATTCAACTCCCAGCACCATATATACAAAAAACCCCTCCATGCTCAGTGACATACTTATAAAAATGAAAAATGTGCATATCCTTTTATCAATTCTACTTACTGAAATTTAATGCACACATATAATGAAGTTTATGTTTCATGGTTACATGGAAATTAAAATTATGGTATATCTCAAAATATTTTACTTGAGAAAAAATTAATGTGATTATTTTGTTTATAATCTAATAAAGCTTGCCTGAAGATCAGAATGCAAAGCCAGCCACAGCCATTTAGGCCAGGCAGAGGTGGTGCATGCCTTTAATCCCAGTACTCGGGAGACAGAGGCAGCAAATGGATCTCTGTGAGTTCAAGGCCACCCTGGGCTACATGAGAGTGAGGCAGTCTAAAAGAGAAACAGAGTTCATGCCTTTAATCCCAGCACTAGAGAAAATATAAGGCAGGAGCTCAATGCAGTTGCTCAGAACAGCTGAGGTTTTTGGTGGAGAGCATTGAAGTTACAGACATGCTGAGGACAGGATCGCCCCTTTCGGACTGAGGTAACGGCTAGTGGCTGGTTGCTTTGCTTATCTGATCTTCAGCTTTAACCCCAATATATGTCTCTGAGCTTTTATTATTCATGCTACCAATCAGAAGAAACTAGAGTTCAGTTCACAATGGTGCTGAAGGGAAATTCTGAGATACTATGATCTTGTTTTTTTGATAGTATGATCTTGACGTATGAATGCTAAAGATTATTCACTTAACCTCAGGATCCCAGGAATATGTGAGCTAGATTGTGCCTCAAGTTTCAATCTGCACTGCTCTTGTTATCCTGGTTACAGATTCTCAGAAGGCTGTGTGGAGATGGGTAAGAACTTGAGATAGATGCATACTACTAAGTCTATCAAACATTTTTTTTTTCCCCCTGGACATGGAGACACACAGGCTGGCCTCTTGAGTCCCAGGCTAGCCTGGTATACACAGTGGCTCTCTCTCTCTCTCTCTCTCTCTCTCTCTCTCTCTCTCTCTCTCTCTCTGTCTCTCAAAAAAAAATCTTGGTAGTAGAGAAAACTACTTATTAAACAGTCATTTGTTAAGAAACTACTGTTTAAGCTGGGCGTTGGTGGCACACGCCTTTAATCCCAGCACTCGGGAGGCAGAGGCAGGCAGATCTCTGTGAGTTCGAGGCCAGCCTGGTCTCCAGAGCGAGTACCAGGATAGGCTCCACAGCTACACAGAGAAACCCTGTTCCGAAAAACCAAAAAAAAAAAAAAAAAAAAAAGGAACTACTGTTTATTAGATACATCTTAGGCTTATGAACTATTTTTATAGGAAGCTGTATTTGTTTCTTCACATATAAAAAGAAACACATCAGATAGTAATAATTAAGTAGTTAATTTTGTATTAGTTTACCCTGCCATTATATCTTTCACACACATAGGGAATATCTATAAAACTAGACAAATTAGGGGTAGCAAGATGGCTCTGAAGGTTAGGGCTCTTGCCTCCATTGACCTGAGTTCATCCCTGCAACTCATACAGTAGAAAGAGTGAGCACACGCCCTCAGGCCGTCTTGACATCAGCAGATACATGCGCACCCCTCCTTACCCAACCCTCCTACACAAAATAGATAACTTAAAAACGAGAAGAGAGTATACAAACTAGAACTGAGGAAAGGAGACTTTTCCTCCATATCATCTGTTTAAAATGCTAAAGGTTTGTGGGAAAGGAGAGGGAGGAGCAAGAGGAACCAAATCAGAAATAATTAAACTATTATGAGTTTTACCTTGTTCAGACCCTTCACCATCATCACAACTATTAATTGACCAACTGGTGGACACGTGTCCCGTCCAACCAGGGTGTCTGCCCACATCTACTGACCAGCCAAGGGAAAGCAAAAATTCTAGGAAATGTGGCTGAACATTTCTGGAAGACTCCACATTCTTTAAAATCTGAAATACATAGCAAGCATCAGTTATGAGGGGAATACACGGATATATTAAAAATAGACATGCAAATACTACTGAGCTTTGAAGCTTTTGACAAGTCTAGAGTTGGCTGGCTGGACTGGCTGGCCCTTGTTTCTGTTTCTCCAGCAAAGTGGGGAAATGATGACTGTGAAGATTATGTGAGATAAAAGTAAAATCATAAGCTATCCCTCTGGCAAAACAATTACCGAGGCAAGCTTGTTTATTAAAAATAAACAGAAGAGGGGCTGGAGAGATGGCTCAGCAGTTAAGAGCACTGACTGTTCTTCCAGAGGTCCTGAGTTCAATTCCCAGCAACCACATGGTGGCTCACAACCACCTTGAATGAGATCTGGTGCCCTCTGCTGGCATGCAGGCACAAGACTGTATACATAATAAAATAGTAAATAATAAAATAAAATAAAATAAATAAAAGGGGCCAGGCTGTGGTTGTGCAAGCCTTTAATCCCAGCATTTTTGAGGCAGAGGCAGAGGCAGGCAGATCTCTATAAGTTTAAGGCCAGCCAGGGCTGTTACACAGAGAAACTCTGTCTTGAAAAACCAAAACTAACAAATAAATGGTACAATGTCTGTGACTTCACAGTTAACAGCCTGTTAATGAGAAATGTTAAACAGGAATGTGGTAACAGCCTTGACAAATGGAATAAAACTACAAGCCTACTACAAATTCAGTAAAGATTAGATATAATAAATGAATATGAAAATGCCCTTTCCTTAGTTCAAAGAAGAGAAAAAAACAAAGGAAAACAAAGTAACCAGAAGGTTTCCTCTCCTATTGGCCAGAGAGGGGAAACCCTCATTCTCAACAATGGTTTTGAGGCTGGCAAAATGGCTCAGTGTGTTAGGGAGCTTGTTACTAAGCCTGATCACCTGAGTTAGATCTCAGAAACCCACATAGTGGAAGGAGAGAACAGACTCCCACAAGTTGGCCTCTGACTTCCACCTATATACCATGGCGTGTGGATGGGGGTACAAGCACACAAATAAATAGACATGAAAAAAATTAAAACAGTTGTTCTCACCTAGAAGTTAAAACAACAATGGCAAGCCTGGAGACATTTTTGGCTATCACAGGATGATGGTTAGTGTTAACTGTCAATTTGACAAAATCTGGGAAGGGAATCTCAATGAAGAATTGTTTAGATTAGAGTGGTCTATGGGCATGCTTATAAAGGTTTGTATTTATTTACTTATTTGTTTGTGAGGTGGGTTTCACTATGTAGCCCTGACTATCTTGGAACTTACTATGTAGACCAGGCTGGCTTTAAACTCACAGAGATCCACCTGCCTCTGCCTCCCCAGTGCTGGGAGTAAAGGTGTGTTCGATTACCACCCTGTGGGTGGTATGTGTTGTTCTTATTTGCCAGTTTTTAAATAATAAAGTTTATTAAATTATTTTTTTAAATAGAAAAAAGATGTAGTTAATGCTTGTTCTGATTAGATTGCTGCCACATGACTGACTAAGCTCTCCATGATTGACACATGTTTTTTGTTTTTTTTCACATGTATCACCTCCTGGCCGAAACAGCTACTATTAAGCACTCAGTTCCAAAGGAAGGAAAATAAGGAATTCCTTTCCAAATTAGAAGTGAAAAAGGAGACAAGAGAATGTGCCAAAACCATTTGGAGAATTTTCTAAAAATAAGACTCTCTTAGCTTGCTTCAGGCCTACAATGTTAGCAAAACCAAGATCCTAAAATTGCCATCTTTAAAAGCTCCTCTCAGATTACTGAAGCACCTTATCCAGGAATCTCTAGTCATTTATACAATGCTAACTGATGGCAATACCCTGCTCACATTCCCCGGAAAAGCAAGAAGGAAAAAATGAAGTTACAGCTATTACTTCTCAGTCTATCATGTGTCACTTCCACAATTATCTTTTGTACACAGAATCAATCTCTTTATTTGTTTTATTCAGAGCTCTCAAAGTCTTTTTCAACATTTACTTATTTATTTAGTGTGAGAGAGCCAAAGAGCAAAAAAGAGTGGGAGAGAAAGTGCAAGAGTGTACAGTTTGCCACAGTACGCATGTGAAGGTCAGAACACAATTCTGGGAGTCACTTTCTCCTTGATGTAGGTCTAGGAATCTAACTCAGACCACTAGACTTGGTTGACAGTAAGCTCCTTTACCCAAGGAGTCATCTCATGGCCCCTCCTTTGGTATTAGGAAACAGGGTCTCACTACATAACCCAGCTCTCTTTGCAGTTTTGATCCTACACTGTAGCCTGGCTAGATGTGAAGTCTGTAAGTAAATAATCAAGAAGCAGCAGGTGACTCAAATATATAACTTGCAACTCACCTGCTAGCAGCCAGAAATTAATCTGACTGGCTAGGAAGAGAAAGGTTTCAGATATTTTTAAGAAGTCTACAGAAACCTTCACTGTTTCCTGATTACCTAAAGCTCCCAGAAGCCCAAGGAAACTAAATGGAATAAGAAGTGCCTCAAGGCTTGTGTCCTTTATAGGTAGGTGTTTGTTCTTTGCCTCGTAAGTATGAACTCTTTAAGGAAAAGGAATCCACACTGACTCCTACTGTAGCTATGCTTCTTTAGAGTGGAAAGGCTCTGGAAACTAGGCTTCAGAGTCATAAGCATTCAAGTTTCTAAATGAAACAAGTCTTAAGCACAGAATACAAAATTCTCATGTCAAGTACAAACTGCTGACATAAAGTCCTATATATTTATAACACAGAAGAGAGGAAAAATTCAGAATTCTTACCTCTTGGTTTGTTTTCTGACCTGGTTTCATATAGAAAATAAAAACTGTGTCAAAAGGACGACATGGCAAGAGATCCAGATACCCAATGTCATCAAAAAACCCAGGTATGGTAGAATCGAGTGCAATGAGGTGAGGAGGTAGACGACTATTTGCAGGTTCCTGTCATATAAGAGAGTAGCAATTGTTATCACCACATGACTCTAAACATAAAGCAGCATTTACAGTTTGGTTGGTCAGGCATCCATTCTAGTACAGTGTCCCAGTATAGCTAGGCAGCCAGGGTAGCTTCCAATTCACTATGTAGCTTTGGCTGTCCTTGAACTTGCAATTCTTCTGCTTTAGCCTCTCAAGTTCTAGGATTACAGACGTTCGTCACCACATCCACCTTTTCTCATTTTAATAAAAATTAAATAAAAAATTATAATGCAGCAGGAATAAATACAACCACAATCCTAAAGAAACTGCTTAATGTGTTTATGCCCCAAGTTTTTATTTGTTTCAGACAACTGAGGTTACAGTGTATATATGAGAGCCTGTTTTGTCTAGAATATAATGCTTTATAAAATATAAAAAAATTGAGATTTAATTTTATTTTACATATGTCATTTTGCCTGCATGTATGTATGTGCATCACATGTGTGCCTGGTGTCCATGGAGGCCAGAAGAGGGTATAGGATACGCTGGGACTGGAGTTACAGATGGTTGTTAGTAGCCTTGTGGGTGCTGGACATTTCCATCTGTGTCCTCTGTAAGAGCAGCCAGTGCTCTTAAAAGCTGAGCCATCTTTCCAGTTCCTCTAGAACTTTATAAAATGTATTTTAAAAACTCATCCATTGCTTGTACACATACAACAGTACAGTTACAGTTTCTTGCCAACAAACTGTCTTAAATACAATGTAGCAACTGCATACCTTGGTATTTTTCTCCAATGAGAATATAACCACAGAAAATGATATGACATGAATTTTATAGCAACTTCATAACTACTTGCATTGATGCCATCAAATTATTTTCTGTTTTACTAATATTTTACTAATATTTTCCAATTATTCCCCTTACATTCGTTGACAAGTCATACTAAGTTGTAAGAGAATTCACTTAACATGCTACTCAGAACCCAGTATTCATTCTCTTTAATACTTATGTACATATATTCATAAAATTGGTTTGCAGTTGCTTTTTAAGGTATGTAATATCTTATTTAAATTATTAGACATATGCTAAAATTCATTAAAATGAACTTGTAACTTGCTAACTTTTCCCTAAACTCTGGTAGAAAATTTTAAAATGAAGATTATTTTTTTTAAGCCCTTAAATATTCTAAAGTATTAACATGAATAGAAAAACTACACTCTCAGGAACAAGGCTAGTAAAGGATTTAATAATTTTCCCAAATATTTTGATTTACTACTTCTGCTATGATAATTTACTCCAGTAGGAATATCACTAATCACTTGTAGGCTGGATCTTTGTTTTGTGCCTTCCTTATTTACTCCTGTGTCTATTGTTTTCCACTATCTGGTCTTTTATTTTGCATTTACTTTCTTTGGAGACAGGGTCTCACTATGAACTGGTTTAAAACCTACTATGCAGACCAGGGTGGCCTCTACCTGCTTCTGCCTCTCACTTTAAGAGGTTTTATGCTTACATTACACATCTCAAACTGTTTTCTACAGTATAAAATACATTCTTTATACATGTCGAAATCTAAATCAAACAGCAATGTTTTTCTGCTTTCCTAAAAAAATTAAGTAACCTATGGCTAGGTTAGTTGCACTTTTCAGGCAAGTTATCTACCTACCTACCTACCTACCTACCTACCTACCTACCTACCTACCTACCTACCTACCTACCATACGAGGGCATAGAGCCCCAGCCTATTTTAATTTTTTTTTTTTTTTTAAGACAGGCTCTCACTATGTAACCCAGGCTGGTCTTGAACTTTTATCTCCACATTGTAAGAACAAGCCACCATAACCAGCTAATCATACCAACTATGCAACACGAGCGTATGGCTTGCATTGCAATAGTAAGGAATTGGGGCTGAGAATGTAACTCATTGGCAGGGTACTTGCCTAGTATGTGCATGGCCCTGTATTCAATCCTTAGAACTAGAAACTGAAGACCAAACACGCAAATTTTAGAGACTACAGAATTAACTCCATTCTTTTAAAGAGTGACATGAAAAAGCCAATTCAGAGCTGAACTTACCATTGAAGTAGTCCCTTCACAGGTGCACTGTCCTGGAGCCCATACTGAACCCACAACAGCAACATAAAACTCCACTGATTTTCATGCAGAGTAAGTACAGGCTGGTTTTTTGTTTGTTCACTTGTTTTAAACCTTTCTTCATTTTGTTAATTTCAGGACATTTAAACCTTTCTTCATTTTGATAAAAAGTATTATAGCTATCATCAGCTGGTGGTTAATTTGTGAATACACTTATATTCATAGAAATTCCTAAAAATTACCTTCAATGCCTCTAAGGATAAAAATCCAAAGTGAGAAAGGAAAAGGCGGGCTGTTTGGAATTCCTGGGCAGGAGGTGGGGGCTTACAATCCGTAACAGGGTCAGGGAAGCTTCTCTTCTGCAATTCTCCCTCACTCTGCTGTTCCAGGTGTATTTCATATGCAATCTGCTGGGCCATACCACTCCTTAGTTTTTCATGCCTGTCTTCTAACTGAAATAAGATGGACATTTTTAAAGCATTTTCTTAAAATGAAATGTTTCTTTTAATTTTAAAACAAAAAAAGCAAAACACAACAAAGAAAATGATAAGATTTGTTGATCAACATTATGTTTCAGTTAAACAATATAGAATTAAACAGACATGGTTCAAAGTTAGACCTATATCCAAAAATTCTTTCCCAGGGCCTAACCAATTGCTTTTTTATCTCTTGGCTATAGAATCTCTCCTGACACTAGATCTCTGCTCTTGGAGGGGCAAAGCTGTTCTCTCACTAAACCCCCAGATGGTTATCTTCACCCTTGTATCCATCGTTCACGAGGTATCTATCCTTGTATTTTAAAATACTTACCCATTTGGACTCCTTACCTTTTGATCAATCCTACTTTAAAGTTTCACCTCCTCATGTGTGAAGATACTTCTAAACAAGCTGGGTTAATTATACAACCACCTCAACCTTAACTACCTACCCAGACCATGCATGAGCAAATGCTCCTAAGCCTCAGATGTGAGCCACTTTCAAGGGTTGTATTATCTCCAATCCCAACCCCACTTCCTGTACTAGCTAAATATTTGCCTTTACTACCAGAGTTTGATCATGTTATCATATTACTGGAACCTACTGTGAACAGCCCAGGCAGTCAATGACCCTGTGTCTAAAAGATGTTTAGTTCTTAACAGCTAGCCCAAATCTACACATCTATCCTCTGACATGGCAACCTCCTGATGACAGAGACCCAAGTCGTCATCTGCCTCTCCTCCCTAACACTAAAGGCAATGCCTGACCACATATACCATTTAAAAATGTTTGCATTTATCCTTTTAAAAGGAGCTAACAGTAACTTGTCTTACTTCTTCAGTGACAATTTCATGTAAATCTGGAATGCTTAAATCTGCTTTTACAAAAGGAATCTTGTCCACCTCTTCAGGAAATGGTCGATGTTTCACAGAATATTTAAATCCAACATCATTTTTAGGAACTGGGCGAGGTTCTGGCACAAAAAGCTGTTAAAATAACACAAATGACATTATGGGTATTAGACATTATCCAACAACTTTTCTGATGACATGTCTTCTAGCCATGTCCCTGGTCTGCTTCAATACTTCTATTTTCCTATGCATGCATATCACCAACACTCAGCAACAATCTGCATATGCTGTACTATGGTACATGTAGGAAATCTATATAATGAGTACTCAACTTAATTTTTCTAAAAATGTTTGCCAACTTATAGATTTCATGACTAATAGTTTGCAGACCTCTACTGCCCAGGTCTCAATCATCTGCATTCAATTCTAAGGTAATGATTAAGGCAGTTAAGAGTTTTAAGACTCAAACTTCCAGCCAGGTCTTAGTACATAAGAGATAGAGGCAGGTGGATCTCTGTGAGATCCAAGCCAGCCTGATATACAGAGAAAGTTCCAGCCAAGGGCTACACATAAAAACTCTGTCTTGGAAAGAAAAAAAAAAAAAAAAAAAGATTCAAACTTTCTTAATATGTGCTGTAGGGGACACTGTAAGCCACGCCTACTAGAAGCTGGCTACAGGTGTGCCCGACCATGCCCATTAGGGCATAGTCAAGATCATGTCAGGGTGATACAGGATAGGGCTTAAAGGGGCAGACAAGGGACATGGGGCCCCTTCTCTCTGGCCTCCCTGCGTTGCTGCCCCTGGCACACTCTGGCTTGTGTTTGGCTGGATTTATCTCATAAAAGACATCTTAACCTTACAGATTATATATCTTCTCTTTATAGTTGGCGCTCATTTGTATTACCAGTGCCAAAACAAAAACAGAAGACAAAAGACCAAAGACTCAGACTTCCTTTTTTTCTAAGAGCTCTCAAGTATTTCACACAGTAATAAGTTCAGCTCCTCAGGTATCTTTAGAAAGTGTGTTTGATCAGAACCTTAGCTGGCTTTAATAACAGCATGGGCCTTCGTATGTACACAACATACCTGGACTTTCAGTGAATTCAGTTCCTTTCCCATTCTGTTCCCCTTTGAGTCTTACAGAGTCACTGATGGAATACAATTTGCTCAGATCACTAACAGACTCATCACAGGGGTTAAATTTGGAAAGAATCCAAATGCTGGGGAATTTCATTATAATATTTAAAAATAATTTTAGTAATATAAGTAAACTCTTAAAAGTAATAATTTACAATCAGTATAGCAAATACTTGTTTCTTTAAGATGTTGAACTTATACAGAAAGAAAAATGATTTGAAGAAAACTCAGTAAAACATGAACTATCGAACTATAGCTAGCTCTCATTGAAAGTGACTGCCAAGTGATTTAACATTTCCTTCATCTAAACTTTCCAACAAGCAGAAAACAGACACATAATTTTAAATCTATAAAATACTGCAATAAATTGTATAGTATATTAGCAATTATACAGAATGAATCATGCAAAGCAATGTGAAATTAAGTCCTACATGTTAGACCTCTCAAATGCCAATGCAAAATTTTCCTATATATGGTATGCATCTGACTTTTAAAGCTGCAGAGAAATACCTGGGACCACTGTTTAGGAAAGTAGTCCTTATTCCTAATTGAGCATCACCATCACCTGGGAACTTTTGAAAACTACCCTTGCCTTATAGGTACCTGTAAGGAGTTCAGCAGACCTGAATTCTAGGTTCCTAAGATGATTCTTAAGTAAATTCATTGACAGAGGACCTCGCTAGGGATCAGAAACATGTAACCTGTGACTTTCTGTTGGAATGTTATTTAACCTTTAAATTACCCACACACACACACGGACGCACACATGCACACAATCATATGCACCCATGTATATGTACTCACGCACACACTGTAACTTCTGATGTACCTTCTGATTTGCTTTTGCTCCTCTGGGTAAAAGGCAAAGTTGCTGAGCCCAGGCAAGTCTTCCAGACATTCCCCGGACCAACACAGTGACAGAGGGGAAAAAATCATCTAGAACAAAATGGATGTGTAAAAATTTTTACTTCAGATAACAACCACTTAATATTCAACCTGCTATCACCTGCAGAACATTTCATGGTCAAAGCCCTAGCACAGGGCCTCCTAAATTGCAATGCCACAGCAAAGTACCACAAGTACTTCTATCCCTCTCTGTACCAACTGCTCTTATTTTAACCTTCCTAATGTCCTCACATACCTCTACATGTATGTTTTGGTGAAATGGTATCTATCATGGCAAACACTCTTAAATTTCCACTGTTGAAGACAGCTTTTATGAAAGAAACAGGCTAGGTATCTGCAGTGTTGACATACATTTGCTCATAGTTTGGGGTCCTGCTACTATAGGCAGACACTATTTCCTCCCAGCATAAGTGCAGGGGTGGAGACATGTAAAAGTTCAGAATCCTTTTTTATTTTCTTTCTTTTGTATCAGATATGGGAATTAAAAGTGGTTCAAGGGCTGGAGAGATGGCTCAGAGGTTAAGAACACTGACTGCTTTTCCAGAGGTCCTGAGTTCAGTTCCCAGCAACCATATGGTGGTGCAAATCCATCCGTTATGAGATCTGGTGCCCTCTTCTGGTGTGCAGATATATATGGAAGCAGAATGTTGTATACATAATAAATAAATAAAATCTTTAAAAAAAAAAAGTGGTTCAAATGCTCTCATGTCTTCTGTTATTAACTATTTCAATGAACAAAATACTTATATAAAATTGTTCATTTTTTAATTAGTTAATTAATTAATTTTTTGTAGGCTACCTATGCAGTAAAATTACTTGGAGTAAGAGTAAGGCAGTCCTAAAAACAACTTGCAAGAAAACCTAGAAGCCTAAGGGGACACTAGGATATTGCAGGCTGTTCAGCAGATGGCTTATGGGTGGGAGGGTGGTGGAATAATGAAAAGTAGGCATCAGGGAGAGACAGCCAGGCAAGTCTTAGCTCTGGGGTAAAGAAGGCAGAGTTGACCAATGATGAATAGTGCCATCCTACTTCATACTAATGTCACTAAACCATAACCCAATGGAAACAGTGTCCTTCTGTTGCAATCAGGGCTAGGTCTCTCATTTTGTAGAATCATGACATCCTGCTTAAAGTCACAGCAGCCTTACAGGACTCACAGACTCTGCTTACCTTTGCATGTGTCTTTAGTCACTGAGGAAGTCCTAGTGTGGTAGGACAACAACAGAAAATAGTACTGTTTGGAAAACCTGAACTTGAATTCTAGTTGTATACTTTTCAAGTTATCCTAAGCAAATCACACACCCTGTGGTCCTCCTAACTATGGGACAGTGCATGTCTTGTCAATGACCAATCACTGAAGGTTTTTCAGCAGACACATCTACATGCTTAAGGATGAACACTATGGTGCAAGGAGGGCAGTGGTAAGGGCAAGAAAATTTTTGAACTGCCAAAGGGGCTATCAGACCAGGTAGAAAGAAAATGCAACAAATCAACATAAGAAATTAATAAGGCTTTGCATTTAGATGTATTGGGAGGAATATGGAGGAAAAGATTCAAGAGTCACTGGGGTAGTAGAGACTTTGAGACTAATTATATAAGTAACAGGAGGAGGAAGCAAAGATGACTTTTCAAATTTCTAGCCTGTGTGGGTAGTGGTAACCGAAACAGAACAATGATGGGTGAAGGGAAAGGGAGTAGAGGGGTAGGATCCAAGGTTCATAAGGAAAGAAAGAACGACAAATAGTAAATATAAAATATCTGACTAAGGTGAACTTTACATAAAAGTTTGAGACATTTTGCTATTTTGAGCACACATAAAGAATCTTTAAACAGTTCTACTTTATTTGCACATTCTATTTTCTGACCTGTTTATCCAGTGATGTTAATCCTATCGCTTCAAGTCTTTCTGACAAATATTTACTTGGAATTTACAGTCTTTGCTTCCCTGACACAACTGAGAACACACTGTTTGAGCAGTAGAGAAAGCTAAGAGTACTACAACTTACTCTGCTCATTTCCAAGAGGTTGCTCCAGCATTGCCAGGATGACACTGTTATCCAAGACAAAGTACCGGAAACTATGCTTGTTTATGGTTGGCAGCCTGGAGTATTTGATCAGAGTGGTCTCATTCACCAGACTACAAGGAGAGGCAGGACCACTGGGTGAAGGAAATGCGCCAAGCAACTGCATGATACTACGGAGAATGGAATAAAGAACAATTAATTCCCAAAGAAAATTCTAACTTTACCTTTTCACAGGTCAGATTTATTCCCTGTGGCAAAAAAAATTACCCTGGCATGCTGGGTAGAATCTGTACTCCAAGAATGAAAGGCCACTCTCCCAGATGCAGGGTAACAGTAGCCACAACTTTCAACTGACCTAAGAATTGCTCTCAGGCATGGATGCCTCACTCAGGACCACTGCTTCTTTCTGGAACAGGCCACATTCAACAACTAGTTAGTACAAGGTTCCTAGGTCCCAGTTCCCTCCCATCTAGAGAGAATACTCAAGGTCAAGTCAGCTTTAGCATTTGTTGCAACTGCCTCTACTGTCCAGCAGTTTTGTTCTTCTGTGTGTTCAATCCTGCTTTGTCCCAACAAAAGACTGCAAGCAAATTTCTCTCTTTTAACCAGGGAACATAACTAACTACAGTTCCAAATCAGGAAACCCTAAAGACATTTCAAACTCTGCTGTGAGCTCCAAGTTTCAGGATTATGATACCCGAATTATCTTAGGCCTAGAAAGGGACAAAATGATCAGGCAGAGCACATCACTTTTTAGGTAAGGAAACTTAAAACTCCAAAGAGCTAAGTGATTGTTAAGAGGCCAAACCCCAGGACCTGCTGCCTTCTTCCTGCATGTCCAGGAATAGATATAACCTCATTTCAGGTAAGGAACCTGAGGCACTCACAGTTAAATCTCAAAACTGTCAAAAATAAATCCGTAACACAAAGTGCTTTAAAAAGCAGTTTCACTGATCAAGATTTACCATTCAGAAATGTTTGCATGTGTATGCAGTGTGTGTATACACTCATGCATACATAGAGAGGGAATATTTATGCATATAAACAATGAATTTAATAACTCATCTAGCTCTTTGTGTCAAGTACTGTTCTAGGCACTTTCTATACAGTTTTTCATACAGTTTCATAATAACCATATGAAAGAGGTACATTATTATTTCCATTTTTATTACCCTCATATATAATAAACAGAGGCTCAAAGAAAAAGCATTCTGTATTTAAACAGAAAGATTTTTACCATATAATATCAATGTGGCCTTTCATATGCATCCCATTCAGAAAACTATTCTTCAACACCTTTGTGTATATGTGTATACATGTGACTGTGTATTGCATGTGTGTTGTATGCATACATGGGGTGCATATGTGGAGGACATGAAATATCCTGTTCTATCATTTCCTGCCTTAACCCCTTGAGACAGTGTCTTTTAAGATATGTGGAACTAGGCTGGCAGCTAATAGTGATCCTCCTGTCTCTGCCTTCCCTTGTAGCATTAAGGTTATGGGTATGTACACAGCCACGTTCAGTTTTTGACATGGGTACTAGAGATCTAAACCCAGGCACTCAGGCTTGTACACCACGTGCTCTAACCCACTGAGCCATCTCCACCAACCCTCAACACCATTTATCAATCAATCTTCAGCTTGGACAGCCTGGCCTCAGTTCTCTAAGCTCTCTGATGATGGAAGGCACTGTTTTCCACCAGATGTCTCCCTTGTATTTTCACTCCTCCTAAAAGGCCTGCTACAGTTCAAAGAATGATGGAACTCAGCAAATTCAGTACTTTAATGACTGTGGAAAACAGGAGCCAACCCAGGAGACTAGGGCTAAGAAAATACAGCTTTGGCTTTCTCCAGTAGAACAGAGATAGATGTCACAAAGCACACAGACCAGGTGAACTGTAAGACCTACGATGTTATCAGACAGGCTTCTGGGAGAGTATAGGCCACTTAATGAAATCATTATTACAGCCTCCCCACACTCTCCTCTTCCTGGTATTGAGAGGAAACATCTCTGAAATTCAGACAAGTACTTGACTATATCACGATAACCCTGTAGATAAAGACTGAAATCCTTGTGAATCTCCAGGGAGACTCTGCTGATATCCTCTGAGGTTCAACCTCTGCTTTCTATAAGCAGTGTTCTGATAAGGACACACCAAACAAGCTCATAATGTTTTCTCATACTGTAATGCCAACACCCAGGAAACTGAGGCAGGAAGACTGCCATGAATTTGAGGCTAACCTGGGCTAAAAAGTGAGAATCTGCCTCAAAAACAGACAAGAACCAGTAAGATGGCTCAGTGGGCAAAGACTATTGCCACAATCCCAATAACCAGAGTTGGATTCCCTGAAACTCACATGAAAAGGAGAAAAGACTCTCAAAAGTTGTCTTCTGAAACACACATGCCCATGTACACATACAAATACATGTTTTGCTTTGTTTTGTTTTTGAAAAGAGCAGGGTGTGGTGGCACACACCTTTGACCCCAGCACTTGAAAGGCAGAGGCAGGTGGATCTCTGAGAGTTCAAGGCCAGTCTGGTCTACACAGTGAGTCCCAGGACAGCCAGAGCTACATTGTGAGACCCTGTCTTGGGGAGATGAAGGCAAAATAATTAAGAACAAACCAAAAGCCTATAATAGACTAGAACTTAATCCGCAGAGACCATATATCAGAATAAGAGTTAGGATTTCAAAAGGATATGGATATTGTGGAATATCTTAAAAAAAGAAATTTCAACACTCCGAAACAAATAAGCACAGGATGAGAAGAACAAATGAAATCATGAAAAAGACTCAAGACTCCAGTTAACACAAATCTCCAGTGCTCAAAGTCTTGGTGCTGTCTCCCAATAGAGGTTGATGAACTATACTGTTCTACAGAGGTTAAGACATTCAGAGCCCATATAGAACAATGTACTCAAAGATGTACCTGTGAAAGATACATGGTCAAAGCAGTGATGTACCTATGAGAGATACATGGTCAAAGCTATACTAGTTGAGTGACGGAATGATAAAGGTACTCAAATTCTTGTAATACAAAAACCATGTGAAGGCACTAGCAGAAAGGAACTAAAGCAATATAAACATTGTCTTTGTATACTGCTGTTGCCTGGACAAAGAATTACTACCAAAAGTCTGAGTAAGAACCAATGAGAACAAGTTAACATAAGAGATTTTAGTTTGATATAGAATATCAAGCTTTTAATAATTAAAATGAAGTGGGAAATCTTAGGGGCTAGACTTTAAACTCAAATTAAGGGTTAAGCATTTAGTAAATGTGCCTTAAGCAGAGGGACCACTGAAATGACTTCTAAGAATACAAATTCTGAATTTATACTTTAATATGCCAAGGTCAAGAAACCCAGTAAGATAATATATACATTATAAAGGTTATGAAAGACAGACTGGCATGTACCAAATAAACTTGGTAGACTATGACAGTATGGAACTCCACACTATGTGAGACAAGAAGACAATGAGTGCAGAGGTAGTGAAAACCACTGTCCTTCAAGAATGAGAATAACAGAAAGAGGTTCGTACAAGTAGCTAGACTTACTGTGAGCATGGAACAGTGTATGATGCTGCTGGAAATGCAGAGAGATGCATAAGCAGGTAAGAGCATGCCCAGTTCACCACTACAACTGGCCCAACTATGGCAAGAGAGTGCTAGGGAACAGTGGTGGGACAAATCAGATCACTTCCCTGACCCTCCACTGGAATTCAGACATGGAAGGAAACAGGAGATCTACTCAAAGTCTTTATTCACTCAAGCAGTAGGATGAAATAATGTTGAAGAAGAGTTTAATCAGAGTGCAAGACAAATGGGCAGAGTTAAGAGACTGCAAACAGCAATCATGCAAGAAGTGAGGTGACCTAGTACAGAATACTATCTGAGGCTTCAGGGGGCGGTGGGAAGATCTTACAAAGATAGTCTATTGGATTCAGTTGCTGGCCTCTTGAGGAATGACAGACATACAAATCAGAGGAAAAAAACTGAAAACAATGGCGACAGCTGGGCATGGTGAATGCCTTTAATCCCAGCACTTTGGAGGCAGAGGCAGGTGGATCTCTGTAAGTTTGAGGCTAACTTGGTCTATACATAGTGAGTTAGTTCCAGGACAGCCAGAGATAGTGAAACCCTGAATCTAAAATAATCAGAACAAAACGTTACCAATGGTGATGCTGACAAGCAGCAACTGTGAGAACAGAAACTTGTTGGGAATATGCCCCACCACAATGGAACTCTGCACTGCTGAAGAGTGGAAACTAAAGACATTGTGGTGGACTTGCTTGTAGATACAAGACAGCAAAAAATGAAAACACACCATTCAGATAACTATAGTCTAAGAGAAAGAGCCCAGACACATAGCCAGCCCCCAGCAGCAACGATGCTCTCATAGGAACAATCAGGCTAGAGTGGAACAAAGTTCTTGCAAGATTCTCCTTGCTTATCTCCTAGCCTTCTTCCTCTTCCTGATATATTATCAAGTCCCAGTGCTGTAGCACTTTATGGCTCCCCCAGCCCATATGTTGCATAAGCACATGCTGTCATGGCTATCCTCACCAATTTTCTAGCTATTAGCTAAACCTCAACAAAGGCACTGAAAGTCTAGCTGTTACCATAGTGCACAGTTCTAAACAAAAGCAAGCATCCTGAAAAATATGACCTAAGAACAACAGAAACAAACCCAACTAATTTGAATATAACCTAAAGAAGCAAAGGATACTACACTCACAAAAGACATCAGGATCTTAGGCAGTGCTGGTTTACACACAAATCTTCAATCCAGCCCCTAATAACCTGACACTCTTCCTTCCTGTGGTTCTGTTTTCCTAAGTTTTTATTAATACTTATCCTTGTATGAGCCACATCTTTACACAGTCTATGAATCTATGCAATCTCTACTTATTCTGTTCCTTCAATCTGCAGATGTGCCCAAACTCAGTCCTCTTTCCAGTCCCCCCACCCACTAAGTATAAAGGACTTTCTCAGCTCTTTCTGCCATTCTTTCAAAGAAACAACCCCTTGTTTCCATGTGACATACATTTTTAATTGCCTGCAATGCTGCTCACAGGTCAAATGTTACCATCCTCCCAGTCTGGGTCAATGTGGTTCCATAAGCATGTTACTTCACTTTCACTTTATCTCAAGTATTCACTTCCTCCTCCCAGCCATTTTATTTGTCTATTCTTTTGGGGTACTTATTATCCACCTGATATTGAGGGACTTTGTGTTTCTATTTCATCTCCTTACTGTACCAGATAGTATTCATTCAGTAACTGAACTGGACTTATCTGCATGATTCTATAAAATCTTAGCTGAATAGAACATAAAAGATATAGTAGTGACCAGCACTGGGTATCAGATCTGATGCTGTGACACATCTCATCTCTAGGCTAAGCCATCAAAGAAGAGGATGAAGCTCCAAGATACTTCCTGGCTCTAAAATGATCTGACCTAAATTAGTTATCAGCCAGTATGGAAATACAAAGACTCCAAATTTCTGATGTCTTGTTGGTCTAAGAATGAGTACAAAAAGAGTATTTCCTTTCCTTTTTGTGTCTGGAGACACAGCACCCTACAGGGGCTAAGATACTCCATGATGAACAAGGAAGACAGAGCAGCCCAGATCACTGCTGCTCTGTCTGTTACAGCTCAGTTTTCAGCTGCTGCTTCCATACCATGTTAAAGTGGCTTCTGCAGCATCCTTTACCCTCATGGACGCAGGGTTTGGCTCCTTGTCTCCTTTGTACTTGACCTCTTGCTCACTGTTCTTGGACTTGCTTCCTGAGATACCCAGTTCTACAATCTCCAGTACTTCCTTAAGGCAATCCTAGAAGTGGGAAAAGATAGAATGATTATTTAAAAAATATTTCACACATTTATTTACCTTATTTAAGAGAGGGTGTATGTGTGCTTTGTACAAGCCAAGGTCAGAGGACAACTTTTGAAAGTTGGTTCTCTCCTCCCTCCATATAGAACTCAGTGATCAAACTCAAGTCATCAAACTTGGAGGCAAGCACTTTTACCTGCTGAACCATCCCAGCAAACCCAGTTCAACTTTTATATACATTATATACATAACTTAAGAGAAGACAAGTGGAGCTCCAGTTTCTAATGTTCTTTAACAGATATGTTTGTATCATGATAAACTTAAACCTCCATTAAGTTTCTCTTAAAAGAACTAAATGTATATGTTCAGAAAGAGACTAATGACAGGTTTTAGTCACAGAGCTCACAAAATTGCCATTACTGTCATAAACCCTGAATGGCTAATAAAATAGATTCAGAAGTAATTTCCACTAGATTCATATGGCTTAAGACACATCAGATTACCTAATATATCAAAGAGGTTAATTATTTATTTTTTGAGACAGAATCTCACTATGGAGCTCAGGCTGGTTTCAAACTCACTATATAGACCAAGCTGACCCTAAACCCAGGATCCCTCTGCATCTGCTTCTTAAGTGCTAGGATTACAGGCAGGTGCCTCCATCCCCAACTCCAATGATTGACATCTTAAACTAATTTCTATTTAAAACTATATGTGTAACAGAGTTTCATGTAGCCCAGGGTGGCCTCTAACTCATTATGTAGCCAGAGATGACCTTGACCTTATCCTTCTTCTTCTGTCTCCCAAGTACCTGGAATAAGGACCATCATAGCTGATTAATGTAGTCCTAGGGATCAAACTGAATACTTCAGAAACTCTAAGCAAGCATTATATTAAACTTGCCTACAAGTCCAGTCCTATAAACAATTTTTGATACCATAACTTTAAAAGCCACAATGAAAATAACTCAGGTTTTATCAATATTACTTACAAAGATTTCTATCTTTTTTTTCTAAATATCCAGTGACCTTGGGAAGCTCTACTGTCACTGAGCTCATTATGCCTGCTTCCCTGTAAGGTACAGCAGCAGAGAAAACAGACTAGATATCTGTGCCCATTTAAGTATAGAAACCTGTGAGAAATACAATGTTTCAATAAAAGTAACTTTTACAGCCAAGCTGTGCTCCAGCTTTGCAGATTCACAATTAAGTGCCCTTCTTTGTTTGATAATAGGAAACCAAATAGCTTTAATAGCTATCTCCTCTGTCATCCTATCAAAAAAAAATTTTTTTCCAGATACAACAATTGAACATATGAGCTCAGAGAAACTGTGAAAGCATGCAAAAGACTTGAGCAAGCTCAAGCCAAATCAAAATTCCAGCACAGATGTGGTGGAAATGGGCAAAAATATTATCACTAGCTGGAGAACTACTGCCATTTGATAGCTGCTGGAAGAGGTAGAATCAACTTTCTTTAATGACATGATAACTGATAGGTTGACCACATTCCTGGGCAGGCCTCACTCCTAATAGTAGCTAGCAAACACAAACTGGACTCAATATAGGGAAAAAAGAGAGATGGAAAAAAGATCTCAAAATTGGGTAGGTAGAAAGTGAGGGTAGATCTTAGTAAAAGAGGATGAGTATGTTCAAAGTACACTGAATTTTTATAAGAACTAATGAGAATATTATTTTTATAAAAGAAGTCTTGCTGGTTCAGAAAAATCAGGCAAGGCCTTCTCTTTCATAAAGAATTTTTCTGTGGGATTATTTGGAAACAATTCTAAGTATGATGACAGTTTACAATTTATGTTCAAAAGAGTAAGTGTTTTATTGAAATCAAGCAAGTACATTCCAAGTTTATGACACTGTATTTAAATTCACATATTCTCTTTTAAAAAATATTTTCTCAACAAACTGTTTTATTCCTACTTGGTGTTTCAAGACTGAATAAACTTACCTTCTCATCCAGCATATCAGGGTGTTCCGTCAGCCAGACACAGAGACACTGAAATGCTGCCACTATCATGGAGTGCAGATCCCGGGAGTGAAGAGGAGCTGGCCGACTGCACTGATATACAATATAACTGCACACAGAACTGATGGCACGCTTCCGGTCTCCCAAGTCAACCATCACCTTCACCTAAGCATGTCCATTTAAGGAACAAAACTAGTTAGTCAGGAACCACTACACCAAGCATTTGCTCTGCAACCGAGCCTATCTGATAATGTGAGATACACAAGAGGCCTTGTTTTTAAATATTATTTATATATAGGAATAGAATATTACAAACATACTACAAAAAAGTGGAATTCTCAAACCCTAAAACAGTACTTCACTCTAACATGGTTGCTCACACCTTAAAATCCAAAGCTTTTGGATGTACTTACTCATATTGTAAAATGTGTAGGAATGGCCAGCAAAGGAACATATGCGTGTGTTTTTAGAGTCCCTAACCCAACCTCTTAGTGATGGTTTTTGCTCTGCACAAAGTCTAGTGAAACAGCTTAAAGGTTCAATTATCAATTACAGTAAGTTACACAAGTATATAACCTCAAAAAACTGTTACTACAATCAATAATGAATATAAATATCACCCCCAAATACCCTCATGCACCTCTGTAAGCTTCCTCCCATTCCTCTTGTGAGGACTGCTTATCTGCTACTATATTGGAGATAGATATATGTAAGTTCTACAGTATCTACTTTGGGGGAAAGGTACTTAGCTAGCTTCTCCTATTTAGCACAATTAGTTACTTGCAGATATTATCTACTTTTTGTAATATTTCTTACTTTTTATTGAGTGTATTCTAGTATATGAATACAGCACAATTTAGCTAACCAGTAACCTGTTAATGGACATCCAGGTTATTTCCATCCCGAGGATACTACAAATGTATTTGCTAGTTCTTTTATATACTGAGATTAGAATGGCAGGGCAATAAGATACATAAAATAATAAATTTTTAAAGATCTGCCACACTGTTTGCCAAAATGGTTATAACATTCTCATTAACAGTTTCCTTATATCCACATCAACATTTGGTATGGTCAAGTCTTTTTAAATTTAGCCTGTGTTTGTTTCTCTGTGTGTGTGTGTGTGTGTGTGTGTGTGTGTGTACATCAAGTTTCTATGAGTACATGCATCTGTGTGTATGCAGAGGACATAGGAGGACTGCTGGATACCTTCCCTATCACAGTGGTTCTCAACCTTCCTAATGTTGCAACCCTTTAATACAGTTTCTCATGTTGTGGTAACCCAACCATAATTATTTTTTTATTGTTGTTGCTACTTCATAACTGTAATTTTGCTAGTTATTAATAGTAATGTAAAATATCTGTTTTTCTGACGGTCTTAGGCGACCTCTATGAAAGTGTCTTTCAACCCCCAAAGTAGTCTTGACCCACAAGCTGTATCTATTTCAACATTATCTCTTGGGATGGGGTCTCTCATATAACCTAAAGCTACCTGTGTCAGCGAGGCTGACAGGCCAGGAAACTCCTTCGGATCTGTCTATCTCCACCTGCCACTCTGAGATCCATGTAGTCATGCCCAGCTTTTTAAATGGGTGCTGGGGATATGAATTTAGGTTCTCATGCTTGCACAGCAAGAACTCTTACCCAAAGCTATGCTCCTAGCCCTCAATTTTAGCCATTCTATTGAGTATGTAATAGTATTTCAATGTGAATCTAATTACATTTCCCTAACAACTAAGGATATTGAGGTAGGAAAACTCACCTTAAAGGAGAGTGGCACTATTCCCTGGGTTTGGGTCCTGGACTGCATAAAAAGGAGGAAGCCAGCTGAGCACAAGCATTCGTCTGCTCTCTTCTTCCTGACTGCAGACTCAACGTGACTAGCTGCTTCAAGCTCCTGCCACCTTGACATCCCCGCCATAATGGACTGTACCCTTGAACTGTGAGCCAAAATAAACCCTTCCATCCTTAAGTTGCTTTTGTCAGGGTATTTTGTCACAGCATGAGACAAGTAACTAATACATTTTTACAGTTAAGTCTACAATCCATTTTTAGCTGATTTTTGTACCTACCATATACAAAACAGGTATGAAACCAAGTTTTCTACCTGTACCACTGGTCAAAAAGACTAACCTTTCTCCTTAGAGTTATGTTTGCACCTTTGTTAAAAATCAGACAGCCATTTAAGTATGGCCATGAAGTCTTAATTACAGACCATGATCTATTCATTCAACCCTGTTCTAACACCAGACAGTTTTAACCAACTTTATCTTCACAGAGAGTTATGGAATCAGGTAGTATTAGCCCATATATATGATGACACAGGTCCAGAGCAGTACTTCATCCAAGCTAACTGCATCTTAAACTGAAAGTGAACCACAAGTTGTGGGGAGCAGCACCTTGCTCTCTGTATGGTCCACCATGTCTCATGAATGGCTATCCTATCATTTAAATCAGCAATTGCTCCTCACATATCTATTGCATTGGAGGATTTCTGAGTTAAGTCCCAAGTGATATTGAGAACATACTAAGTTTTCTTTTTTTTTTTAAATATGATGTCCTCTACCTGGGGACATACTGCCATTTATTTTTTTCCCAACTTATTTATTTGAATTAGAAACAGGATTGTTTTACATGACAATCCCAGTTCCCTTCTCCCACCCATCCTCCCCTACCACCCCTCCCCCAACTAAAACCTTATCTGTCACATATCTTTTCTGCTCCCCCTGGATGGTGAGGCCTTCCATAGGGTGTCATCAGAGTCTTTCGTATCCTTTGGGATAGGGCCTAGGCCATACTAAGTTTTCTTGTCTATCGTGTCTCTCACAGTTTGTAAAGGTCTAAGCTTCATCTCAGATACTACCACTCTGTGATGAGTATCACTATACGACCACAATGTATTTTATACTTTCATCTCATCTGATCCTCACAATACCAAGTAGTACAGGAAAAATAACTCTTTCCATTTTAATAGTTAAAAATATTCAGTGAGATGCTATTGAGAATGTGGAAAAATTGGAACCCTTGTATATTGCTGAAAGGAATGAAAAAACTCAGTAGCTGTGGAAAACAATCTACAGTTCTTCAAAAGTTAAACAGTATTACCATAAACCCAAGAATTTCACTCCTTATTGCATACCCCAAAGAACTGAAAACTGATATTCCAAACAAATACACATTCCTATACATCCACAACAGCTCTACTAGTAATAGTCTAAAGACAGATACAGTCTAAATACCACTCAATTGATGAGCAGGCAAACAAACAGTGATAATTACATTCAGCATGGTGCTGTGCAATCATAAAAAAAGTGCTAAAACTCAAAAAAGTACTCAAGTGAGAAAGACAGCCACTCTTGAAATGACATATGTTACGCGATTTTCCTACTGATCCCTTTCTGTGAATGGTCCTGATTAGGTAGAGCCAAAGAAACAAAATGAAGAACAGTGACTGTCTGAGGAGGTGACAATTGGGAGAGTAGGCAAGAAAGCAACTGCTTTGGGGCTTAGGGACTTCCCTCCAAGGTAACAAAAACACTTGGAAATGTAGGTGGTGGGTTTCACTACATTGCAAATGTGCTAACAGCCATGGAATCACTTGCTTTAAAATGGTTAGTTTTATGTTACATGAATTTCAGAAAAAGAGCAAGAGAAAGACTGAGTGAGGCTTAAATGCAAGTGAACCCCATTTCTAAGGTTCCACAAAACTCTAACTGTGAGAGAAAACTGAATATATAGTCAATTTTTGCTTACTATCGATAACAGAAAATAGTAATCACAAAAATACTTTATGATAAATGTTCTTTATAAAAGCAATAAATATACTATATGTGCGAATAGTCACCAGTATTAAAATGCTTTCTGTACCTTAACAGAAACATTCATATCCTTTGCACCTATTTTTCATTTTGAAAAATTTCACTTGGAGGCTCGATTTTGTATACTCTGGATGTAAAATATACACATGTACTGACAACCCTAAAATACCTACACAAAGGGGGTGGGTGTCAAAAAAAAAAAAAAAAAAAAAGGGCATGATGCAAGTCTGCTGGACTAAAATGAGGGACTATCCTCACCTTTGCCAGGCCAGAGAGGAGCTCTAGAGCCGCCAGGGATATGCTCATGTCTTGCCGCCACTGGGAGTTGAGTCTTTGGGTGACGAGATGAATGCTGCGAATCAGGAGCCCAGCAGCTGAATCTGTATTGAGAGCTAGGATATAACCCAATGCCACATCCACAGGGAGGGAAAACAACTAAGCATTAGTAACAGAAGCACAGCATTGCACCAGGCACAGACCACAGACCGCAGCCACAGTGAGTACAATGGGCACCCACACAGAGCTATGCTCCCCGCCCACCAGCCTGAGCACCAGGCCTGACTGATGGTGTTCAAGGCACACATGGGGCTGGGTCAGCTTCTAGCTCCCAATCCACATGTTGACCAAAAAACACTATGGACTTGGCAATTCCAGTAACATCCTTATAATGAAAAATGGTGTCTTAAATTTTTAAATAAATAACTTACAGAGTTTAATCTTCAAAAAGAACAATGAAAAGGCAACCAAGTATTTCCTTAGAGTTTTACAGAGGCAAGAATTCAACCTGATAGCCTCCTCAGATGCTAGGAATTACCTAAAGCATCTGTTGAAATGATGGAGTTTAAACCAGGAAAAAACACATGCAATGCCTTTTCAAACCCATGTTTACATTTTGCTCTTTACCACCATTTTAATACCTTTAAAAAGGTTAAATAACCAAGTCACTGTTTTTACTTGGACTTCAATTTTATATTTAAGGTGACTGTTACTTAGTAAGAGTGAATTCCAAGAAATTAAAGTAGGATAAATTAAATTATAATTAAAAAGGAAGCTTTAGGGGCATTATACCTGTGGATCCTATCAGAAAGAGGGCAGTGACAACAGAAAAAGGAATGATCATTAAAGAGAGACAGTCATGCAACACTAACACAAATCTGGATTTTTTGTTTTAGTAAAAAATAGACATAACAAGCAGAGCTCACTAACACCAGCTGAAAATGCTGGAACAAACAATCAGTTCAAACACTTATATACAGCACATGCAAAATCATCTTTAGTTTTAAAATGTCTTAGAAAGTACAAGAAACAGTTCAACCTAGAAAATGCCTAAATCTACACAAGGAATAGCAATTTAAATGTATCAAATATTCACATAATGGCTCTATGTGTTTGACATGCTGAGGGATAATAGATCATATATTCATTATGAAAGCATGCCTCATGAACATGGCTCATGGATTCTCCAGATGATTAAAAAAATCAAGCTCATATCTGGGAACTAGATATTCTAATCTCAAGGAATAAATGCAGATTCAATCAATATCAGCATTTGTGCATAAAACATTATAAAGTTGCTGGAATGGAAGCACACTCCTTTAGTCCCAGCAGAGGCAGGTGGATCTCTGTGAGTTTGAGGCCAGCCTCAACAGAGTGAGTTCCAGGACAGGCTCCAAAGCTACAGAGAAAACCAGTCTCAACAAAACAGAAACAAAAACAAACAAACAAACAAAATTATAAAGTGCTCACACTAAATCCATAAAATAACTGCTCAGTGTAAAGGCCGTCACTGAGCAGCATGCTTTGCTGCCAAGTGTTCTATTTAGCAGGGCAGAAAAATGTCTCTTTATTTTTGTAACTGAAGAAGCTAACAAGACAGATTATCTAAGTAACTTTTATTATGGAGACACATGCTTCTTTGGGTCTTTAATACAAACTCCATCACTTCCCTCATAACTGCAATTATGAGGCTCACTGACCATCTCTGCCATTATACTGCCAGCTCTGAAGCAAGGCCCACATCTTATGTAAGCCTGTATCACCAGCACCTGGTATAGAACCTAAACACCTCCTGACCTCTCAACATAAACATCTGTAAGATCTAACACGCTACAAGAAATCATGAATACTTTTTCCTTAGTTTTTTTTAAACTAATATCTTCTGTCAATTATACGTAAGTAGATCGCTTTTATTTTGTTTTTGACTCTTGAAAAGTTTTACTTTTGCTTATTTTGTTAATCAGAGAATTAATACACGTGTAGATGCTAACAGGCTGTTTTAAACACAGCTTACCATAATCCCTTAGGAGAGCTTGAGCAGGTCTTTCACTATCAGGCGTTGTAGGTTCTGTGCTTCCTCCACTTGCTGAACTAATACCACTATTAGTGCGACTATGACTCTTCAGGTTGTTTTCTCCACCACCCTAGTCAAATGCAAAAGATGAAGAACCAAGATGAAGAGTTTGCAAGTATAAAAACAGTTAATTATTAAAAATTTGTTAAGATAGTTGGGTGCTGATGGCACATGCCTTTAATCCCAGCACTTGGGAGGCAGAGACGGGCAGATCTCTTGATTCAAGGCCAGCCTGGTCTACAAATTGAGTTTCAGGATAGCCAGGGCTACTCAGAGAAACCCTGTCTCAAAAAGCAAAAACTGTTAAGAGTTGGGGCCATGACTCAGGAGTCACTTGCCTCACATGCATGAGGCCGTAGGTTCATCCCCAATAATGCAAACATAATAGGCTAACTAGCACAAGGGGGTTAGAATCACTGGTATTGTTGCTCTGATGCCATCAGTTAAAAGGGTTTACAGGGTTTGATAACTATAGGCATCCATACTGGGGTCTCCCATGCTGATTTTTAAAGGGCCACCTCATAGCCCTTTATATTCACTACAGTTTACTAGCTAATAATTCTGGACTCATTAAGGAAAATACTTCAAATGCCTCTAGAACAAAACCTCAGGAACAGGAATATAATCTTCAAATAAAGACAATATGGGGCTAGGAGATGATCTCAATAAAGTGTTTACCACTCAAGTAGAGGACCTGAGTTTGGTGTCAGTGGCTGAATCCAAGCCTCCCTCCCTTTTTTTTTTTTTTTGTTTTTGTTATTGTTTTTGTTTTTCGAGACAGGGTTTCTCTGTCTAGCTTTGGAGCCTATCCTGGCACTCACTCTGGAGACCAGGCTGGCCTCGAACTCACAGAGATCCGCCAGCCTCTGCCTCCCGAGTGCTGGGATTAAAGGCGTGCGCCACCAACGCCCGGCTGAGGACCTGAGTTTGATCCCCAGAACCCATTTTTAAAAAAAGCCAGATGGAGGGAACGGCAAGTAATATGTCTGAGTAGGTAAATAGCACTTGCATACAAGCATGAAAACCTCAGTTCCAATCCCCAGCACCTAAGTAAAAAGCTGGTCATGGCCACCCACATGTCTATAATGGCAGCACTGAGAAGGGTGGAAACAGGAGCATCACTGGGCTTGTTGGCTGCCATTTTAGCTCCATGATCATCAAAGACTCAAGGGAATAGGGCAAAGCAATAGTGCAGAATACCTGACATCCTCCATGCGCATACCCACCCATACCCATCTGCACATCTCTCTCTCTCTCACACTCACTCACACACGCACGCACGCACGCACACATACAAACAAGACCCACATCCATTTGTGTTCACACACACTCACAAAACAGCAACTTTTAAATGTGGTTATACCATTAAGTACAAACAATAAAATACTACATTTCGTATAAATTCCCATACACATAAGAGCAAATAAACCCATTTGTTAAAGATCCCTTGCACCTTTCCCCATATAAACAGAACTCACTGCATCCAAATCAGTACATTATTAGCCATCTACTGGAACACAAATTTCCTTAAGAAATTTTCACTTATCCAGCTTACCCCATTATAACTTATTACTTCCCCATACCACAGCCTACCCCAAGTGTAATGATCAAGTATCTTGAACAAAGAGGCAAACGACACCGTCCATCTCTAGGGAGCTTTTAAATTATTACTGAAAAGCACTAGTGCTTTGGGCATCTGTACACTTTTGTCTACAGGAACTACAGATCTGTACACTTTTGTCTACAGGAACCTGTACAATTTTGTCTACAGGAACTACTTGGCAGATCTTACAGGTAGTCCTATATCTGTTAGGGATAGCAGGAACTAGGAAGGCCTCTAGAATATTCAGACAAAACAATCCCAGCTGGGTTTCTCTCATACAGGATTTCCCAAGGACCTGATGAGGTACTGAACAAACAGAAATCTCAAAATGTGTGATGTTTTAAAATAGGATCCTTCTGAGTCTATGAGCTGAAGTTTACAAACAAAATGCCTTTAAAAATCCATGTGTGGGTGGCTGGAGAGATAGTTCAGTGGTTAAGACCACTGGCTGCTCTTCCAGAGGTCTTGAGTTCAATTTCCAGCAACTACATGGTAGCTCACAACCATCTGAAATGAGATCTGGTACCCTCTTCAGGCCTGTAGGCATACATGCAGACAGAATACTGTATATATAATAAATAAATAAATCTTAAAAAAAAAAAAGTGGTGGTACACACCTATGGAGACAGAAGGACCAGGAATTTAAGATCATCTTCAGCTATAGACACAGTTTGAGACTTGCCTTGGCTACATGAGGCACTGCCTCAAAAAGACAAAAAACAAGCTGGGCGGTAATGGCACACTCCTTTGATCCCAGCACTCAGGAGGCAGAGGCAGATATATCTCTGTGAGTTTGAGGCTAGCCTGGTCTACAGAGTGAGTTCTGGGACAGGCTCCAAAGCTATATAGAAAAACCCTATCTCAAACAAACAAACAAACAAACAACAACAAAAAACCCAATGTGTTGAGGACATAGCTCAGTGGTAGACAGTTTGGTTAGCATGTGTAAGGCCCTAGGTTCAATTCCAGCACTGTTGAGTATGATTTAGATAAAATCAGATTATATAAGCTTCTTACCATCTCCATTTGGCAACCAATGGCTTCTAAAAGTGCAGAATCCTGAACAATATTTAACATTGCTCCTGAAATAGCAAAACAAAACAGTTTACATGACATATAATTATAGTGAAATGGCTCAGTCAGAGCAAAGAGGATATAATTTGGAGTCAGGAGTGGTCATACATAGAACCCTAGCACTCGGAGGCCTGAGAGAGGAGGGCTGCTATCAGCTGAAGCCACCTGGGCTATGCAAGACCCTATGTCTCTTCCCCTTCCTCTAAAAAGAGAAAGAAGTTTTGGTAAATCATTCCTGAAATTCTCTGAAGACTATGAATAAAAATAAGATGGCTTAAAAAAAAAAAAAAAAAAAGATAATGCTTTAGAAATCCCCAAATTCTGATATGCCTGCAAAGATTTTTATTTGGGGGGGGGGGGTGCAAGGGAGGATTTGCATACACATGCATGCCGTAGTGTATGTAGATATTAGACAACAGCTTTCAGAAATCAGTTCTCCCCTTCCAAGGTAGGATCCAGGAATGAAACTCAGGTCATCAGTTTTACAAGGCAAACACTTTTAACCCAATGAGCCATTTGCTGCCCAACTCCAAAGCACTTCCCCTCCCACCGATGCACTGGACTAAACAAATTCTTTACATTCTTTATTTCTGACAATGCCTTCCAGGTGAACATTATTTTTTTTCCCTCTCTCTTTGGTTTACAATATTTTTCTGGCATATAAAATTTGTATGCAATTTCCAAGAATAGAATTTCAATGGCTCAATTCTCTTGCTTCGAGTTTCCTTCTTCACCTTTTTCTGCTTCTATAATCTCAACAGTAACAGGAAAAAGTATGTGTTATCACCTGCTCCTTGTCAAATTAAACAATTTACCATTCACTACTGAGTCCACCTTCTCACTGCCTCAAATACCAGACTTCTAAGCACTCACCCCCAACTACTGAAAGGAAAAAGGGGAGAGAGAGAAGAAAGCTAGGGCAAAGGGAGGTGAGTGGAGAACAAACAAGACAACTAAGTGCTTTCCTTCCTTCAGCTCATCTCCTTAAATCTTTCAATTGTTTACTACATTTATTTATTTATTATTTATTTGGGGAAGAAGGGCTACGTGCATACCATGGCATTGTGTAGAGGTCAAAGGACAGCTAAAAAAAAACAAACCAGTTTTCTCCTTTCTTCATGTGGGACCTGGGGATCAAACTCAGGTCTCTGAGTCTTAAGGGCAAGCATCTTTAACCACTGAGCAATCTTGCCAGATCACCTTAAATCTTTTTCTATAAAAAGCAAAAAACAAAAAACTCTACTTCTGGACAGAATAATAAGAATTGTATCAGGCTTAGGCTTCTTCCAACCTGAACCCCCAGTATGCCTGCAGTCATTAGTACCTGGGTTTCACTTACCAAAAACAAACAAACAAAAAAACTATCTGAACACAAACCTAGTATCATTTGGGTGTTGTTAGGGTCCGTTTCCGTTTGCAAGGCACCTATTAGTATATTCACAAGTCTCAACTTCAGGGACAGAAAAGTTATTGGTTTATCATAGGAAGAGCTGTCATCATTACTAAACTTTCCTTCTAGGACCACCTGGAGAAAAAAAACAAATATTTCACATCAGCTATTGTACATGATGCCAATTTAGAAACAGGAGAGGACAGCAGGTGAACAGGCTAATGATCCAGGTTTCCAGTCTAATTGCAGCTCTATTTGACACCTATAATCACATGTCATTAGTCTATAAACACATGAATAGTAAGCCAAGGCACATTGGCACTTCCAAAAGAAGAAATACCTAAACCAGAAAAACTTCATTAATCTATTAGAAATATTGTATTTGCCCATTAGAAATGTGTATTTTAAAATATTTGTTTATTTATTTAATGTTGAGACAGGGTCTCACTGTATAGCCCAGGCTGACCTCAAACTCACAAAGTTCCATCTGCCTCTGCCTCCAAGTGTTGGGATTAAAGACTCATGTGAGCATGCAGGGCTAGAAAATCACTTTTCTAAAGCCCCTGTTCCATTTTGTTAAAAGCTCAATTTGGACGATATGATAGTCTACATTGGTGACCCGAAAAACTCTACCAGGGAACTCCTACAGCTGGTAAACACCTTCAGCAAAGTGGCAGGATACAAGATTAACTCAAAATAATCCCTAGCCCTACTATATACCGATGACACATTGGTGGAGAAAGAAATCAGAGAAACATCACCTTTTACAATTGCCACAAACAACATAAAATACCTTGGGGTAACACTAACCAAAAATGTGAAAGACCTGTACCCTAAGAATTTTGAGTCTCTAAAGAAATTAAAGAAGATACCAGAAAATGGAAAGATCTCCCATGCTCTTGGATAGGTAGGATCAACATAGTAAAAATGGCAATCTTGCCAAAGGCAATCTACAGATTCACTGTAATCCCCATCAAAATCCCAACACAATTCTTCACTGACCTTGAAAGAACAATTCTCAACTTTATATGGAGAAACAAAAGACCCAGGATAGCCAAAACATCCCTGTACAATAAAGGAACTTCTGGAGGCATCACCATCCCTGACTTCAAGCTCTATTACAAAGCTAAAGTCCTGAAAACAGCTTGGTATTGGCACAAAAATAGACAGGTAGACCAATGGAATAGAATTGAAAACCCTGATATTAACCCACACACCTATGAACACCTGATTTTTGACAAACAATCCAAATTTATACAATGGAATAAAGAGAACCTCTTCAACAAATGATGTTGGCATAACTGGATGCGGACATGTAGAAGACTGTAGATAGATCCAAGTCTATTGCCATGCACAAAACTTAAGTCGAAATGGATCAAAGACCTCAACATAAATCCAGCCACACTGAACCTATTAG